CCCAACTACGGTAAGCTTAGCCTTCCAGTATTCCCAGTCCCGGTACCAGACGTGTGAGTGAAGAAATCTACAGATGATTTACAGTCTCCAGCTATCCAAGTCTTGGCAGCTGAGACCCCAGAGATCACGAATCAGAGTTAAGTCATCTCTGCTGTATGCTGTCCAACTTCCTGACCCAGAGAATCCATAATGATAATAAAGTGGTTGTCATTTTATGTCATGAAATTCTGGGGTGGCTTCTTACACACTAGTAGATAACTACCATGCTTTGAATAAAGTTACATTTTGTTTTGTAACTTAGATCACTGAGAATGATTATTAATTAAACTAGAAAATATAAAAGTGGAGAGAAGGAAAAAATATTAAAAGACAAAAGTAGAGAGACTTCTAATATGGCAGTATGCAGGAGTTGACAATTCCACTCAATAATAAAATGAATATAGAATGTACTTCCACTTTGAGGAAGATGGAGTAGGTATACTTTTCCATATTCCCATCAGCAAGTATAACTAGAAACCTTGGACACTATATATATTAAAAATAAGAAGAAGCTAAAACGTGGAGAGAGGAAGACTGGCTAGTGACCTTGGAGCCCCAAAATGACACAGAGCAGTGCATTCCCTGGGCTTTCTTTTTGCCTCATAGATCCCAGACCTGGAGAAAGCTGGCCGCCACCTCAGCCAGTAGCAACGAGCAGTGCCACTTCCTCTGGTGTCAACAGAGGCCAAGGGCGGAAATGGACTTGGATTGCCCCCTGGAGGTTACGAGGCAGCACCTTCTTTCCATGGCTAGAGTAGTTTCTTGTCTCATAATAGAATACCCAAAATGTATAGGTTAATACCAATAACCAGAAGTATCATAAACCAAATTTTTAAAAAGACGATAGATGCCAACACGGAGATTCTAGTGTCATTCTAGCTTAAATTCTGATTTCTAATAGAAATTCTAGCTTAAATGTGTAAATATATGTAATCATGTGAATTGGTCTTTCAGAGTTCTAATTATTGTGTAAGTATGGCTAATCCACTAAAGTACGTTATGATTTAAATATATGGTGTCCTTTATTAAATAATTTATTTGTATATGAAAGAAGTCGGAAGTGCTGGGCAGGCATGAAGTTTCCATGGTTGTCACTATCCAGGTTTCTTCCATTTTGCTGCTAACCTTTGATTAGTATCTCTTTTCGTGTTCAAAAACGACAGCTCCAGCTGGGACCAGTTTGGCTCAGTGGATAGAGCGTCGGCCTGCGGACTGAAAGGTCCCGGGTTGGATTCCGGTCAAGGGCATGTACCTTGGTTGCGGGCACATCCCCAGTGGAGGGTGTGCAAGAGGCAGCTGATCGACGATTCTCTCATCGATGTTTCCAACTCTCTATCCCTCTCTCTTCCTCTCTGTGAAAAATCAATAAAATATATTAAAAAAAAAAAAAAAACGACAGCTCCAGCTCCAGCCATCTCACTAAAAATTTAAGCAGTAGGATGGGAGGAGAAAGGGGAACAGCCTTAATTTCGCAAGAGATTTCCCCAGAGTCCCATCAATTTTCATTGGTCAAAATTACTTGTAAAATCCCAACTAGCTGCAAAGGATGCTGGAAAATGTCATCTTTTGGCTCCATTGTGTTCAGTTAAGAAGTAAGGTTCTGTTTATTTGAGAGAGACGGGAGAATGGGCATGTGGTAAGCAGTCTCTGCCACAAATGAAGTTTACACAGATTCAAACTGGAGAAAAGATGGAACCATAGAGAGTTTCCAAAGGATCAAATGAAGAAAATCAAAACAAACAAACAAAAATAAATAAATAAATTCTCCCTCTTACATTAAGGAAAAAGATAACATTATAAATTCATAAACGAGTTTCAATTTAGGAATAGTAGGTAGTGTTTTGTTAGTGCAGTGCTTGCTATTAATACTCATAGCTAAAAATAATACTAAGAGCTAAAGAAAAAGTTTTAAGACATATTTCAAAGTGAAAACATATTTTCCCTCTATAATGTATTCTTTGTTTATTAATCTAATAAGCAAGGAAATTATCTCAAAGCTACTAAACTTTCATTTATTTTACTTACTTGGATAATTGCTTGTGAACCACTGTTTAATTTACATAGTTATTTTAATCGTGGTTATTACAAAGATTAATGATGGTTTAAAAATGCTTCCTAGAAAGGGAGTAGGAAGAGGGAGGTGAAAATAGTTATGAAAAGATTATGAGTGATCTTTGTGGCAGTGGAACTGCTCTGTATCTTTACTATGGTTGTGGGTACATGAAAATGCGCATGTGATGAAATTGCATAGAACTAAACACACACACACACACACACACACACACACGCATGCACAAGAGTCAAACTTGGAAAATCAGAAGATAGGTGAATTGTATCAATGCCAATACTCTGGTTGAGTGTACTGTAGTTTTGCAAAGTGTTATCTTTAAACACTATACAGTGGTACCTCAATCAATAACTCATACAATTGTCCAAGGGCCCTGCTGATACAAATAGCTTCTTACTGTGTGCTTAGGACATTCTTAAGATTGTATTAAGCCTCTGTTATGCAACTTTTATTTGTCCACGTTCGATTCAATCCCATCTATCTTCAAGGATTCCCATAATGTCTAGTCCATTGAGAGCACCCCTTCATGTTTTTCAGTATCAATGTATGTGCATGGATGTACCCTTGCTGTAATTTTCAGAGATTTGGGAAAGAGGGGAGGAGTGCGGAGAGGATAGAATGTGTTCTCCATCTGCCATGTTGATCCAGTCTCTTGGCTAAATTTCTAAGCACACATTGAACTTCTCAGTACCAGGCACAGACAGCTGCTAGTATCATATGATCTAATTTGGAAACCTCTGCTTCTGAGGTGATGTCATATTAAGCTATTTCCATTGAAGACTTGGTCCCCACGTTAAAAGTGGCATCTGCATGACACATGTGAAAAGATTTAATTCTCCTTCCTCAAAATTAACTTTCAGATTTAAATATTAGATCTCAAAAGAATGTCAAGTTCTATATTACAAAGATTCCTACAAGCATATAACAGCAACAATACAAATAATATTTTGGTCCAACTATGACAAAGAGAGAAAAAAATTATTATTTCAAAAAATCTGTAAAGTGCTGATATTCAAAAATAAGAAAAAGCAACTCAGATCCTGAAATGTGATTTCCCTACGCTCAACCCTGAAATTACTTCAACCAATAGATTCTTAATAAATTAAGAAATAATTCTTAATAAACTAAGGAATAATCTACCATTGGTTGAGAATTACAGTGTAAATTCCAAACTTTGAAATCTAACATACTTTGATTGGTCATGTCTATTAGCTGCCTCCTGCACACTCCCTACCTGGGATTGAGCCCTTGTTCTGAAATCGAACCAGCAACCTTTGGTGCACAGATGACGCCCAACCAACTGAGCCACACTGGCGATGGCTTTTACTAAATAATTAATGAACATATAACATGCCCAAGGCACTGGTCTAGCTTGTGATACAACAGTGAACTAAACAGACAAAACCTCCTGTTTTGGGGACCTCATATTCTATTTTTTTCCATAAGCTGAACTTGGCCTTTTCCTACAGAAATTACTCTCAAAATAGATAAATGTTTTATACCCAAACACAAATATAGGTGTCTCTTTAGCATCATTCAATCATATAAAATGTTTGATAACATAACACAGAGATACATTTAGCTACTGACTTCAAAACATTAGAAGTGAATGTGAACAAGATCAGTTATCCTAAAATGGATCTGCCTACAGTGATTCACTTGGGAAAGGAAGTATTATTGCTAAGTTTCACCTAAGTGTACTATATTTAAGATAACTCTTACCAGACCGTAATCTAAATCAGAAAACCAAGCCATGGAAATAATCCAGATATAACAACTGGGCGGACTGAGGAATACACTGGAGCAAGATTCTGATTATCTACAGTTATACTATCCAACATGGTGGCTACTAGTCACATGTAGTTATTCAACTTAAAATGAAAAATTTAAAATTCAGCTCTTCAGTCACTGTAGCCACATTTCAAGTGCACAGAAGCCACATAGGGCCTGTGGTTGCTATATCCCAAGTGCAGATATACCTAGTGAAACATTTCCAACATTGCAGGAAGTTCTACTGGTGGTGTTGCTCTAGAAAATCTAAAGAGGCACTCATTTCCCAAAGAGGGCTACAAAAAGTAGCGGTTTGTAATATCAAAAAGTAAGTTTTCTTCTCTATCCCTTGGATATTTCCATCCCTAAATCTTATTTTCCCTTCATCTCCTATACAATGTCTCTTTTCCTTAATCCTTCTCCATCTTCTCACATTTCCCCCACACTCTATTTTTTCAAACCCCCTCTCTATTTTTTTGCAGTAACAAATATACTGTCCACTTTTAATGATTTCATACATTTATTGAGGTTGATATGTTTTAGTAATTTCTCAGCGTTAAAATTTAAGGAGCTGAATCTTTCTAATATATTCTCTCTCCCCACCCCCGATACAAAATTTAGATGAGACTTTTTTTTTTTTTAAGGTATGTATCTTTGCTGTATTTTTCTTCATAGAATTATCCTTGCTTAGAATCCGAGTGGGAAAGATATGCAGTTCTGGTTGCAGACTCTGGGGTTTCCCTTCACCAAAGGAAGGGCTCAGGCCTCTGGGCCGAGAAGTCCGCACATCGCCGGCGGCTCCGGTCCTTTCGCTGAACCTCTACTGCCACCTAGCGGAGAGAGGGGCGAGGGCGCCTTCGCCCGTTTGGCGGTTGCCAAGCGACGGAGGCGTGGCCCGGTCTAAGGAGGGGGACGCACACTAAACTCTACCGAGAGAGCCGTAACAACGCCGCTTTCTATTGGCTGAAGAGATCTCGGCCCTCACCACGAACCAATGAGCAGATGCAAACAGGATGACGTCGATGCTATGCGCCTGCTCCCCTCGGCTCCCCCACCATCCCCTAGCGACGCGCCTGGCGACCGCCGAGACCCGCTGTAAACACGTGGGGTTCTCGGCTGCCCCATGTACACCTCGCCGCTCGCGCTCCTGCAGGTGTTCTTCCTGCTGAACCCCGAGGGCGCGCGTCCTCAGCCTTCTTCCTCCCCGTCAGGGCCAGCGCCCACCCCCTCGGAGCCGGGGTCGCAGGGCGGGACCCTTCAGACCTCTTCGGAGGGGACTGACACCCCGCGGGCCGTGCCTGGGACCTCTTCGGTGTTCCCTACTCTAGGGACCCCTTCAGCGCCTGAAAATGGGGCCGTGGACCTCCTCCCAGGTGAGGGGAGGGAATGTGGGGGTGGAAACTACAGGCTTAGGACTAAAATCCTGTGAACAAAGGAAATTGCTACTGAGTGAGGTTTGGGGGCTGTCAGTGGAGGGGAATTGGCACCTGGAAGAACTCAGGGATCCTCATCCCTTTCGCTCCCCTTTATGTTATCCCTCCGTAGTCTTACCGATCTGCGTCTGTGACCTGACTCCTGGCACCTGCGATATCAATTGCTGCTGCGACAGAGACTGCTCTCTTCTCCAGCCGAGATCAGTTTTCTCCTTCTGCCTCCCGGGAAGCGTGAGGTGAGCCGACTTGTGCCCTAAAGGGAATGGGGGCCCTAGAAGAGGTGATGGTTGGGAATAGAAAGAGCTAGCCTTCCTGCCTTCCTCCCTCATTTCCACCGCAAGTGGGATTGCCGTGGTTGTGCCCAGGAGCGACATTGCTCTTCGGCATCGTTAGAGCAGGGCTGCCCAATAGACCAGGACCTTCGTGTTGCCCTGTGGCTACCCGGAGAGTCATTCTTTGGCATCCGACTGACATCTGTGGGGCAACCTTGTTTGGACCCAGCCCTGTGCTTCTAAATGCATCTTCTTCATCCTGTCTGTGTCTTCACAGGTCTTCGAGTTGGGTTTGTGTGGACAACTCCCTTATCTTCAGAAGTAATTCCCCATTTCCTTCGAGAGTTGTCATGGATCCAAATGGAATTAAGCAGTTTTGTGTCCATGTGAACAACTGTGAGTAGCAGCCTATTGGTTCTTATTGCCTAACATTTACACTGAGTGGCCAGATTATTGTGATCTCTGAATGCATAATAACCTGGCCACTCAGTGTATATCCTATATAATAAAAGGCTAGTATGCAAATTGTCCCCTCCACCAGGAGTTCGACCAGCAGGCAGGCCAGCCAACCCCCAGACCCCCCTTCCTGGCCAGGCTGGCAGGACCCCACCCATGCACGAATTCATGCACCAGGCTTCTAATACACACACACACACACACACACATACACACGCACACACACACTGAGTGGCCAGATTATTATGCGTTCAGAGATCATAATAATTTGGTCACTCGGTGTATTGAAAGTTGGTTTTGTCTCTGTCCTTTTCTTTGTTTTGTTTTTAATTTTTTTGTTGTTGTTGAGAATTTCTGTCATCCTCTTTCCACCTGCCCCCTCTCTCTTCCTCTTATTGGTGAACATTTGTAATTTCTTAATACCCTCTTGGCTATGGGTCAGAAAACCCATACAGAACTTTAATTTCAATCATCCCTGTTGGCCCAGATAGATTCTATTCCCCTACTTGATACAATCTCCATGAAGGCTTTCATTGAATCTCTAGTAAGTGATACATAGGAGGCACCAAATAGTATATGAATGAATATCTTTGAAAAATATACACCAACCTTGTTTTTATTTTATGAAGCAACAATGTAGGAGAAAGAGCATTAGAGTCGGATCTCAGCCTTGCCATTTACTTACCAGCTGCTCAGACTTGGGCAAACCCCTTGGTATTTCTTCAATTGCAAAATAAGCAATAATAACAATACTAGCCCTGGATGTGGAAGTGCTCGGTTAATGTTAGAGTGCAATAGCAATGAGAGGTGTTATTATTAAGGTTTTAAATAGACTTGGGAATTTGCAGAGGATAGCTATAACAAATGAGCTGCGGCTGCCCCATCCTTTCCAGATCTCCCACTGCCTTCTAGTCCCAGTCTTCCTGCTCCAGAGCGATTGCAATAGCACCCACTGGTCTCCCTTGCTTTTGATCTCCCGATGTTTATATAAACAGATTGTTCGTTTATATAAACATCGTATCTCCCAAGGTAAATTATCAGAATCTAGAAAGGATGGATTGTATGCCCAAGTGGGGTTGCCAAGACATGTGGTAACTCTTGTTATTAATTTTTTGAGGAATCTCCATATCGTTTTCCATTGTATTGTCTATATTCTTACCTCCGATATTAATACTAAAACTAATTCATTTAACAGATTACAAATAAATTAGAAGGTGATAGAAATCAGAATTGTTAACTCAAGATGGAGTATTGATTGGGAACCTTCTGGGCAAATGCTTTATAACTTAATCTGAGTAGTAGTAATAATGTTATGTAGATTTTTAAAAATTCTTTAGAGTTTACACTTAAGATTACCGCGTTTGTATACTTAAGCTTACTGTGTATATATTATGCTTCAATAAAAATATTAGTTACTTGGCATGCAAGCTGTTTAAAAATAAATATTTTGTTTTTAACTAAAACCCTTTTTTTTCTAAACACATTTTAGCAAAATTAAACTATTTCCAGAAGCCCCAAACAGTCAATGCATCCAACTTCCAGACCCCAGCTACAGAGTTTGGAGGCCAACCATTCGATTCAATATTACAAACGCAGTCGCCACCATCTTTTTACAGGGTAAGCCTGGGGAAGGGGGCGGAATTGTTTAGTTTTATTATTCCCTCATAACCAACAATTGCCTGGGTATCTCTGAGGTACCTGGCTGTCAGTTCTTTTGGAGGGCAGTGTTTGTCCACATTAACGAGCTGAATTAATTTTTGTTTCTGCTTTTTCAGTTCCTGGTGGACTTCTGTCCACTCTCATTGTGAATAAATTTCTGCTATGCTTTGTCCAGGCCGGGGACCCCATTTTGACTTACTTCTCCAAGTGGTCTGCGCTGAGCTGGCTGAGGCAGCCTGCGGGAGTTGGAGCTGGGGGACTCTGTGTCGAGAGCAATCCTGCCGGTGAGTCCAGAGCAGAAGGGCCAGCCTTTGTCTTCAAGCTAGAATAGGCTTTCTCATTTACCACCCCTTCATTCTTTGTGCGCTAAGGTTTCTTGGAGAGTAAAAGTACAACCTGTGTCCGTTTCTTCAAGAACCTGGCAGACAGCTGCGCCTCGGACCCAGCCCTCAATGCTGTCTCGTACTACAACTTCACAGTCTTGAAGGTGGGTATCCCTTCTCTCCCACCATCAGCTCTGTGGGTTTAAAGTCAGCATGCTGCCCGCTGCAGGGTTGTGGGCAAAGCACTAACTTGGAAGTCAGAATGCCCAAGAGCTACATAAAAGACAAGAGGGCCTGGAAGTCCTATTGTCTGAAGAAAAATGAAAGAATTGGGCTATTTAGCTACGATTAGAGATTTTCAACCTCCTGGCTAATGGAATTATTTAGGGAGGGTCAGAAGGATGATATTTCACTATTTCATCAAAACTTCTGCTTTTGTCATTCAGTAGAGCTCAGAGTAGATGGGCATCACAGTCCATCCAGCCTCCCTTCAGCTTTCTCCTGGCGTTTAGCATAAAGAAGAGTCGGGTAGAGAGAGGAAGCAAATGATTGTAATGTGTTGACTTATTCCCTCTCCCCCCAAATGTGAAAACACAAGCTCCTGGAGGTTCTCTCTAAGATATGTGCATGCTCATTTTCTTGCTTTTCTCTTATTCTAGGTGCCAAGAGGTATGACTGATCTGCAGAATATGAAGGTAGGATGCTGCTCATCAGGAAAAAGTAAAGTGAATTTTTGGTCCCTTTGCATCTAAAGCAATTTCAGCCTTGATTAAAATATGAAAGAAAATGTATTTGTAATGTATCAAAGTGTCAAGTGTGAATCTAAAACCATGTTTTCCAGGTGTTCTATATGATTAAAAAGTATCATATGAATTAAGAATTCAAAAGGTTGTTACTAGATAAGTTTGGGAAATATTGGGTTAAACAAAGTTAAACACTATATTTAGAGAGGACTTCTTGGAATCTTTAATAGGCTTAAGGGCCTTCTTAATCTCTAAAAGGCAGGTATCAAATATAGTATTTCTAAAACTTAATTGACCATGGAACCTTTATTTTATATCTAATAGAATCAGTGTCCTGAGAAATATGTTTTGAGATGCGCTGACTTAGAATGACAATGACTTGGACTTAAGTTGTAGGCTGGCAGCGGAAGGAGAAAGAAAGTTGATGGTCAAAATGAAAAATACTCATTTTAGCACGATATGTAGCTAGAAGGGGAAATGCTGCTTTCAATTTTAGTTGATTTTCTTCTTTCCCTTTTCAGTTCCAGGTTCCTGTAACACCTGTCTCCCAGGCTGCTTCTCCTCTGCTGGCTGGAAACACTTGTCAGAATGCTGTTTCCCAGGTAGAGGTGCTGACCTCAGGCTCTGGGTGGATGAATGTTGATCACCATTTCTGAGGTGCCTCATCTTCGGTACCACACCGACCCCACGTGAAGTTTTGTGCGTTACCTGAAAATTAACAAAGAACTGAACCCATCCCCTTCCTCCCTACCATGTTTCAGTCGTTTCCACTGCTATTCTCCAGTATTGCGTGTCGTGAACATTACAAGTATTTCTGACTTCTCTGTTGATATGCAGTCTCTTAGGGTTCTTACTGACCATGTTTTCTTCTGTTAGCAAAGTCAGTATCATCTGAAAATCTGAAGTAGACTAAATCAATTTTTCCTCTATTCTCTTCTAATCAACCTACAGAAGTAAAAATTATCTTAAAGAGTAACTTTAAAGATTATGTTTAGAAATGTAAGGATACTTGTTTATAACTTTCAATTCCAGATGCTATTTCTCCTCATCCTCAGACATGAGACAGCCAAGTAAACCAGGTTTCCATTCACCTGCCTGGGTTTCTTCTCACCTTCCTCTGCACACAATCAAAACTTATTTTCCTTCCCTTTCAAATCTTAAAACTCACCTCTCCCCTGGATCTTTTAAGAGTTCTATCCGGTCTCTTTTCTCATGTGTTTTTAAGTCTACTTGTTTATTCTCCCTCATTTAGCTATATTTTTAATTGAGATATAATTCACATGTAATACTATTGAATTAGTTTTAGATGTACAATATGATTTGATAATGTAATGGGGTGGGCAAAAACAGGTTTACATTTATGAGTTAACCATGACCACACGGTTCCAAATTTTTTTCTTGCAATGAGAATTTTCAAGATCTACTCTTTTATCAACTTTCAGATGTACAATTTTGTTCTTAGTAGTCACCATGCTGTACCCGCATTCATTTATAATAAAACCTTTAAAGACAGAAAATGTAAATTAAACATAATTGGTCCACTAAATAATCTTTACTAAGTGATTCTCCTTTTGTATTGCAGGTCATCTATGAGATAGAGACCAATGGGACTTTTGGGATCCAGAAGGTCTCTGCCAGCTTTGGACAAACCAACCTGACTGTTGAGCCAGGCACTTCCTTACAGCAGCAGTTCATCATTCGCTTCAGGGTAAGGGCCCTCTTCCTGTGGGGGTAGAGAGGGAAGGAATATAGTTCCTCTGCGTCGGTAACACATGAGAAATAGAGTGAGAATATGAAGGCCTACTTCAGTTTGTCAGGTGAGGCATTTCTTTTATAGTGTGCTGACTTCCTGAATACATGTAAAAGGATAAGTAATCCCGTCACTTCAGAGGAAAAGAACAGCCATTGCTGTAGCAGAGTCAAAGCCAAGGGAAGCAGAAAGCACACTTGGTTTGTGGCCTCAACAAGAGGCTTCAGCATCTAGTGTGCCATCATTTAACTGCAAATGATAGGGAGTCAGCAATGCCTGTTCATTAACAATTTCTCTGATTCTCTATTTGGCCCCCAGCAAAGCAGGAATTCAATGTCAAATCCAAACTCTTTTTTTAAATAGTCATTTTGAAACATAAACTCAGCCATCATCCCACAGAAATTCTTTAACTAGCTTTTCTCATATGTCTGTGCATTCAGTAGATACTTTCTCACTTTTTATTTATTTATTTATTTATTTGTTTGTTTATTTATTTATTAAATATATTTTATTGATTTTTCTTACAGAGAGGAAAAGAGAGAGTTAGAGAGCCAGAAACGTCGATGAGAGAGAAACATCGACCAGCTGCCTCCAGCACACCTCCTACCGGGGATGTGCCCGCAACCAATGTACATGCCCTTGACCGGAATCGAACCTGGGACCTTTCAGTCTGCAGACCGACCCTCTACCGCTGAGCCAAACCAATTTTTTGGCACTTTCTCACTTTTTATATTTCTGTATTATTTGCTCTTACGAGCTTACAATGAGTATGAATTTTGTCTGTGTATTTATGAATGTTGTCAAAAGGTAAGAGGCATTCAGGGTTTTAGTCGTTCCCCACTTAGCCTACGTTTCCAATCTTGATCACCACCTTTGTCTTTCTTCTGCTGCTACTATTTTAACCTCACCGAGTCCGGTTTTTTCCTCAGCTCTGCCTCCAGTGATCAACCAGGTCTCATCTCTTAGAGTTCATCTCTGGAACATCTATAGCTAATTAAAATATATTTTAAGTTACATTTCTCCTTTCAGCTAGGCTGAACATAGACCTAAATTGATACTAATTTTTAAAAGCAGGGTTGATAGATCTTTGCTTGTAATCCTTGGTAGCAGTGCCATATAGTGAGTTTATATGGACAATTTCAATATTCAGATCACTCAGGATTTACTGCAGGGAATAAAAATGGAAGTCATTGGAATAAAAATTTTTGCAAAACCCTACACTGTGGAGGGAAGCCCCAGTGCAGCTAATTTAAGGAAGGTGTGAAGTCGAGCAGGGGAAGGTGTGAGAGCATGCTTCCTCCGTAAGTGACCTTCTTTTATTCTTTCTGCAGGCCTTTCAGAGCACAGCCACTTCCCCTCCTGGTCCTCGGAGTGGGAATCCTGGCTATGTTGTCGGGAAGCCACTCTTGGCTCTAACTGGTGACATAAGTCACTCTGTATCCTTTCTGGTGCCGAGTGGCCTGTTGCAGCCTAACGAGAAAAGTTGCATCTGCCGATCTTTTGGATTTTCCAATTCTGCAGTCCCCCATTTTTTTTTTTCCGTATCCAGGACTCCTTTACCAAGCCATTAATACAGTGTATTATCAAATGGTGATACGACCAAAGGCTTTAAAACATCTTAGACTGGCTGAAGGTGAGGATCATGACATGGTTTTAATGAGGTATTTTATATGCTGTTGTGTGTTCAACCATTTTTGGAAAAACACTATCTCAGTGTGCTTTTTAATTACTAGAAGAAGAAAACCATGATATAAATAAAATATAAGTAGTGTTAAGGAAACAATAAGAGCATGCCTTTTCCAGTCTGCCTATTTTTTTCTGTTATGACCTCCTTGACCTGCACTTTCTACCTCAGGTGACCCTCTTGCAGAGCCAGGGTGATGGAACTTGCTCTGTCAGGAGACACAAAGTACAATTTGGGGTGAATGCAATGTCTGGATGCAAACTCAGGTAATTCATTGCTCCCACATCATTTCCCACAATTTTGTCTCTATCTAGGGATTCTGTAACTTCTATATTTTGAATGATAGTTCAGAGATTGCTAGTTAGGAATAATCATAGACTCTAAATGATGTTCATAATACTAAGAGTTTTCTGACAGTCCTCTATACTTACCGAAGATTTTTTTCCTTCCAATTCATTTTATACTATTATCCTATATAATAAAAGGCTAATATGCAAATCAACCGAACAGCAGAATGACCCGTCGCTGTGATGCACACTGACCACCAGGGAGTAGACGCTCAATGCAGGAGCAGCCCCCTGGTGGTCAGAGTGATCCCACAGGGGGAGCATAACTCAGCCAGAAGCCGGGTTCACAGCTGGCAAGGGCTCACAGATGGTGAGAGAGTGCAAGCTGGGCTGAGAGACCCCACCTCCCACCCCCGTGCATGAATTTCATGTACTGGGCCTCAAGTTTCTAATACTTTGGTTAATATGCTAATATGGTTTCATTATTAAGTTAGCATTGGACTGCAGCCTCAATGATTTTTAATTTCAGGCTGAAAAATGTGGATTGCAGCCACTTGCAACAAGAGATGTACCAGACTCTTCACGGAAGGCCCAGACCAGAGCATGTTGCCATCTTTGGTAATGCTGACCCCACTCAGAAGGCAGAGTGGACCCGGATCCTCATCGGGAACTGCAATGTTTCGGTAAGGAGAGAAATACCTGTCTGACCGGGACTCGCTTTCCCATTTTGTTGAAATTAAAACCAGCCCTCTTTCCATAGATAATGTGGTTATTATCCGATACAATAAAAGGCTATTCTGCAAATTGTCCCCTCGACTGGGAGTTCAACTAGGAGTTCAACTGGGAGTTTGACCAGGGGGAGGGGCCAATAGGGGCCATCTGGCCCAGTGCTGGCCAGGGGTAGGAGCTGTGGGCAGTTGGCCAGCCGGCCCCCCTCCTGATCGCCCCCCCCCCAACCTTAATTGGGGGTGGACTGGCTAGCCAACCTCCCATGTCCCCTCCCCTGGCTGGCCCAGCCCAATTGGGACAGGCTGGCCAGACACCTCCCATACACGAATTTGTGCTCTGGGCCTCTAGTCTATGTATATAAAAGCCTAAGTGACTGTTACAACCGGGTGCTATGATGCATACCGATCACCAGGTGGCAGCTGCTCAACGCAGGGCCTGCCCCTGGTGGTCAGTGCGCTCCCATAGCCAACCTCCTGCAGCCGGCCAACCTCTCATGGTCTTTTCTCCCAGTTGGCTAGCCCGATTAGCACTGGGCCAGATGGCCCCTGTTGGCCCTGATTGCCCCCAATCGCTGGCCAACCCAAGGGACCCCACTTGTGCACGAATTCATACACTGGGCCATTTTAGAATTTTAATTTTCCTAAGATCAAGAATAGTAATACAATCTATGTGAACTTTTGTGTTTTATACACACATTGCTTTCTCTGTTAATGTACAATGTTTAATTAAGAAATAATGGCTACTCAGTGCATGGTGATGGGTTTATAGATAGCCATCAGAAATTCAAACAGATGCTTCTTTCTACAGGCTACACACTGCACTTCTTGCTGTGTCGTACCAGTGTCCCTGCAGACCCAGGTATTATGGGCATATGTAGGCCTCCAGTCCAACCCACAAGCTCATGTGTCAGGAGCACGATTCCTGTACCAGTGTCAGTCCATAAAGGTAAGTCATGGCTCAGAAAGGACCGCTAATCCTTGCAAAGCCTAGACTGTCTTATCAGCCATTTGATGCCTATATAATTTTTGACTTCTGAGAAACAATGTATGCTACTAGCCAATGCTTAGTTAGAGTGAGCTGACACAATTTACTTTCAAGTAGATCCTCCCTGCCTGGTGACTGATTTTTTAATATCCTGAACCCAGACTATAGTGTAGGTTAGTTTCTTTTAAATTATAATACACTATTATTAAATTGGTTGATTCAACCACAGAAAATAATTTTCCATAAATATATATTCAGTGTGACAGTCACACACTTGAGTTTCTGAGCCTTTTGTTCTGAGAGATGTCTGAGATTTTACTGCCTGTTTTCTTTTAGGATTGTTACACTTTCATAATTTACAGTCTTTTATCTGTGTTTATTCTTGTGTATAGTGTTAGTTGGTCAAGTTGCATATTCAACTGTCAAAACTCATTACACTGAACATTTGAGATGTGTACCTTTTATTGTATATAAATTATATTTCAATGAAAAAGTTAAAATGAAAAAAGAAGACAAAAAAAAAAAAAGCCACTGACTAGGGGATAATACTTGTAATACACTGGCAAAGTTCTTGTATGTAGAATAAAGAACTCTTACAACTCAATAATGAACTACAAACCTGAGTCAAAGAGGAAGGTATCCTAGTTTATGGTCTGAAATATGAATCTACAAAACATAAATCAAAGAGGTGGTATCCACAGCTTTTTCTCTGATAACTTGAAGCCCGATGCACAAAATTTGTTCAAGAGTAGGCCTTCCGCCGAAGCTGGTTTGGCTCAGTGGTAGAGCGTCGGTCTGCGGACTGAAGGGTCCTGGGTTTGATTCCGGTCAAGGGTATGTACATTGGTTGCGGGCACATCCCCAGTGGGGGGTGTGCAGGAGTCAGCTGGTCGGTGTTTCTCTCTCATCGACATTTCTAGCTCTCTATCTCTCTCCCTTCCTCCTCTCTGTGAAATATCAATAAAATATATATATATATTTTTTTAAAAGAGTAGGCCTTCCTTTCCCCATCTGCCAGCACTGGGTTCCCTCTGGCACATGGGACCCAGCTTCCCTCTGGGTGCCAGCAGGCACCTGGGACCCGGGCTTGCCTTATAGCCCAGCTTCGTCCGGAAGGTCATCTGGTCTAATTAGCATATTATGCTTTTATTATTATAGATGAGTTTTTATTTGAAATGATTCAACATGCAGATTTACATAGAATGGTTTTAAAATTGAGATTACAAAAATGTAATATAATAATATATATATGTATATATACACATATATACATATATATGATCTACTTTTTATTACCAAAACCAAACAAAACCTAATGCAAAGTAAGTCTTATTTGGGGAAAACAGGTTTTGCTGCATATGAACTGAATTGAAGGAAAAAAAAAACAAACCCTAAAATCTCACAAAATGTTTAAACAGAATTGTTGGTAGCGATTTCTGAAGTAGACATCATAAAATATTGTAGGTTAAGGTACAAATGAAATAAATCAATCATACATGATAACTGAATCCCTACTAAAAGAAATGAGCTGACTTGGCCATGTACCTTTTGTTGTCTTGATACTACCATGTTTCCCCGAAAATAAGTCATCCTCCAAAAAAAATTCCTAGCACATGGAAAGATAAGACATCTCCTGAAAATAAGACCTAGCGCAACTTTGGGAGAAAAAATTAATATAAAACATTGTCTTATTTTCGGGGAAACAGGGTAGTAAAAGAATTGAGTTAATTAGACTTCGATTGAGGTTGTTTTCTCTTTGGTTCCATTTTTTGTTTTTATTTTTTCACTGTTTTTGCTGCTCATGCTAAACAGTAAATTTTTAAATTTTGCTTTTACATAATTTTTAAAATGTAAATAGGAAAAAATTTAGACTTTAGAATTTAAATATAACACACTGAACTTACCTCAGAAATCCTGTACCTTATGAGGACTAAGAAAACAGAGATAAACTCATAATAAATTATTTTCATTGCATTATGTTGAAATACAGGGCTAAAAAAATTTGTATTATATTTTCAAGTGTGTTTGAGACCAGCTTGTTTTTATGTATGAATAAACTTGGGTTCTTACACAGATGCTACTGAAAAAGAAAAAGAGTAAATTATTAAGTGAGACGGACTGATGTGTGGCCTTGAGGTACACTTAGTTGCGCACTAGGCTTGCTTATACCAGCATTACCACAAACGTGAGAGTAGTTTGTTGTGCTATGACTTTATAGGTGCCACATCACTGGGCAATAGGAATTATTCGGCTCCATTATAATCTAATGGGACCACCATCAGATACGTGGTTCTCATTGACCAAAACATTGTAAATCTGCCAGCTGTCCATATCTTTGTGTCTTTTTGTGGAACTACTAATTTTCTTCAGAAAAAGGCCCTCCCCAAGGAATGGTATAGTTGTAAGACCATCTGTCAACATTTTGGAATTAGACGAGGAAAGGTATTTCATTACACAGAGTAATTCCCTTATTTTTAGTTCTATTCCTCACTCAATCCTTCTTTATGCCCAACATCTCTAAATCCAGAATTTCTCTGATTTGAATTGTCCAGTCTCTTCTCGAGGTGCGGAAGAGGTTGTTGCTTGTTTGCATGGAGGGAGTCCCATTCAGTCACCATGTTCTGTCCCTACCTCTTCCTTGCCTCCCTGGAACCTCCTGTTACTGAGTCTTCCCGGGTTCTACAAAGACTTGCTTGCTCTAGTCTCTGGAGGCTTTTAGGTTTAGCCTCCTTTCCCTTAGTGAGCCTGGATCCTTTAGGAGCCTGATAAGGTAGAGCTGCTAAGCACGTCACAGCAGTTTTGCCATCTGGGCTCTCTGATATCAGGCAGCTCCCCAGGTGGGGGAAGCTAGAGTCAGTCTTTAGGTAGGTGAAACTGTTCACAGTTCTGGACTGTTGCTGAGAAATTCATTTCCTGTGTCTCATAGAAAATAACATAGGACCAATGTGAGAAAAAGGTATATCTTGCTTAGAGCAATTTGGTTTTGGTCTTTCTGAAGTGAAAGTTATAAAAAGTCAAGTAAAGGGCTATTTAAATTGGTACCAAGTGCAGACCTGTTGTGAACTTCCTTCCTGCAGGATTCCCAGGTAACAGAAATGTCTTTGACAACTACTGTGACCTTTGTGGACATTACCCAGAAGCCAGAGCCTCCTCGGGGCCAACCCAGAACCGACTGGAAATTGCCATTCGACTTCTTCTTTCCTTTCAAAGTCGCCTTCAGCAAAGGAGCAGACTCTCAGAAAGGCTCAGTCTCTCCCGTCCTTATTCTGTGTCTTTTACTCCTTGGAGTTCTCTTAACTTAGAGACTATGTAACGAAAGGAGAGGAATCAGATTTTAATTTTCCCTATGGGAAGTCCTACGGCAGCCTACTTGTGTTGGCTAATGACCAGAGAGCATTTAAGAGAAGAATGGACTTAACTGGAGGAGCCTTTGTACATGAGAGGAGAGATTTTAGAAAAGCAATAAAAATATCTTGTTCATCCTAGCTCTCTGCTTAGAACTTGAACATGCTGCAGTAATGTCAGTTGCAAAGATCTCCAAAAATTGAGTCCCTGGTAATATGACCTACAGAATACCAGCTACGCATCAAGTTCTATGGTCCTCAAGCAGGAAAGTGCAATGAGCCCTTCCTCCAGCCCTTCAGTGTGTGATGCCTGACCAAGGGTTTGCAAACCTTCATCCATCTGCTCGTAGGCACAGCTGGGCTCAATATGAAAAAAGATCATGCTCCTACGCCCCCCACTTGAACTTGGGACTAGCTGCCCTCTGGACCTGAAAGAAGCTGACTGTTAGAAAAGAAAACCACTCGCTATGTATTTTATCGGGCTCCTCCCTGCTCCCTTGGGCTAGTCTTCCCAGGCAAGCAATTATTTCTACAGTTCCCAAAATGAGTGTAGAATCCCAACCCCCTATCCTACTAGCAAATGATCCCACTACTTGTGTTTTTCCTTTCCTCCGCTGTGGAGAAATAAAACTGATTAAGACTCAATTGTCGCCGGGACCTGTTTGGCTCAATGGATAGAGCGTCGGCTTGGGGACTGAAGGGTCCCGGGTTCAATTACGGTCAAGAGCATGTACCTTGATTGCGGGCTTATCCCCGGTAGGGGGTGTGCAAAAGGCAACTGATCGATGACTCTCTCTCATCGATGTTCCGGGCTCTCTATCCCTCTCTCTTCCTCTCTGTACAAAATCAATAAAATATATTATTAAAAAAAAAAAAAAGACTCAATTGTCTGAATCCTAGCAGCACATACAAGTTAACTGACGTGGTCTGCCTCATGATTATTTTTCTACATATATGAGGGTTTAAAACAACAACACAAACTTCATCTTTTCACACAGTTCCCCAATACCCTCTCATCTGGCATCCATCAGCCTGTTCTCTGTATTTACGAGTCTGTTTCTATTCTGTTTGTTCATTTATATTGCTCTTTAGATTCCATGTATAAGTAAAATATGGTATTTGTCTTTCTCTGACTAACTTATTTCACATAGGATAGCCCTTCAGGTCCATCTGTGCTGTCACAATGTAAGATTTCATTTCTTTTTAAGGCCAAGTAATATTCCATTGTATAAATGTACCACCACTTTACACACTTCTTTATTGAGAAGCACTTGGTTGCTTCCATAGCTTGGTTATTGTAAATAATGTTGCAATGAATATAGGGGTGCATATATTCCTTCAAATGAGTGTTTTGGGTTTCTTTGCATATACCCAGAAGTGGAATTGCTGGGTCAGAAGCAATTCCATTTTTAAATTTTGTTTTTAGGAACTTCCATACTGTTTGCCATGGTGGCTGCACCAATCTGCATTCCCACCAACAGTGCACAAGGATTCCCTTTTCTCCACACCCTCACCATCAGACTTATGTAGATCAATGGTACAGATAAAGAAAGCCCAGAAACAACCTCACACCTATATGATCAATATTTGACAAAGGAGGCAAGAACATACAAGGGGATAAAGATGATCTACTCAATAAATGGTGCTGGGAAATTGAGCTCCTCTCCTGCCTTGTCCCCTATGCAGGGTATGTCTTCCTGGTATGATCCTGGTCCCTCTTCTAGATGAACTGCTTACTTCTTGTCCCTCAAAGCACACTTCGAATGTCTATTCTCTTTTTAAAGCCTTGCCTGAATCCCTGGGCATCCCTTCCTCCTGAATTAATCACACACTCTTATAATCATTTGCTCTCGGATCTGTCTCTCCCAGAAGGCTGTGAACTCATTGGGGAGAGGACAGTGTCTCCACTCCTAGGGAATGCCTAAGAGCCAATGTTTAGTGAATAAATAGGCTCAGTAATGTGCTTAGGGACAACTACAGAAGGGGCAAGAGGGCTTCCTTGTCATCCAACTCCACTCAAGTGCTGCCTCTCCTCCCCTCCCCTCCCCTGACGCTGTCCCTGCAGGTGCAGGCATGTGCCCTTTGAGCCAAGCACGGGAAGTGGAGAGGGAGTGAGTCTGAGCTCTCACTTGTAGGGTGGATTCTCTTGCCTTTGAAATAGTTCCAATTATCTAGGATTAAATATAACTACGTGCAGTATCCTCTTCAATGCCGTTGGCTAAGCAAGAGCTGGGCTGGGACCTTTGGGAAGACTTCCAGCCGATTAAGGGGCAAATCATTTTATCTCAGTGCCAAAATTTTTCTCATTTAAACAGCAAAAGATTGTGTGAAACCCACACTGGAAAACACACCTAAAGAGTTACACCAGCAGAAGCCAGTTTGGCTCAGTGGATAGAGAGTCCGTCTGCGGACTGAGGGGGTCCCAGGTTCAATTGCGGGTACATGCCCGGTGGGGGGTGTGCAGGAGGTCGATGTTTCTCTCATCCATGTTTCTAGCTCTCTATCCCTCTCCCTTCTTCTCTGCAAAGAATCAATAAAATATATTTTTTAATGTAAGCAATGATAAATAAATCTAGATATAAATGTTTCTGTGAAACAACTTTAAAAAAAAAAAAAAAAAAGTTCCACCAGCAGCTGAGGCACCAAAGCATCTTTCCTGCCTCCGGGGAAGGCCCCCTGGCGGCCCTCCTCGGGGACGTGGACGGAGCGCTCCAGCCCCGCCTGCGGTGGGCGGGGCCCGCCACGTGGAGCGAGGGCCGATTCTCAGAAGGCGCCTACGCTGTCGCCGCAGCGCAGCCCCGGGCCGGCCCCTGGCCCCACGTCAACGGCGGAGGCCCCGCGGCCTGGCTCTACGCCTACGCCGCTGACGTAACGTCATCTTGCGGGACGTGGACGGAAGAAAGGCGACCGTGAGCCGGCGCCGGCATCGGCCCCGCGTGGACTGCGGGAGGGCGGCGGGGCGGGCGCGCTGCGGCGAGGCAGGTACGCGGCGGGCGGCGGGGCCGCAGGGATCGCCTCTGCGGGGGCGGATGCGCCGAGGCGGGGAGGGTGTGCGTGCTCGGGCCGCGCCCGTGGGGGTGGCGGGAGCGCCGCCCGAGCAGGAGCCGCGTGGCCGGGCCCACGGGTGGGCGTGGGCTCGCGCCGGGGGCTGGCGGCGGGCCGGGCCGCCCGGGGGTGCACGCGGTCCATATGGCTGGCTGGGCGCCGAGGCTCTGGGGTCTGCGGGGACCTAGGGTGCCCGGCCCTCCTGGCCACCCACATGGAGGCGCTGGTCCAGGGTGATGATGAAGACTCGGCGGGCCCCTTCCGGTCCGGTGCACCTGCCTCGGTGTCGGGTTTACCGTGGTTTGTGACTGGCTACACGCCGACCTCAGGGGCCTGTGTGTGCAGTCCCCCGCGGCCCGCCTGGCTTTCGATCCCCCCCTTAAAACCAGTTCCCGCCGTTCTCCACCTGCTCACGGCGGCCTTTTTGCAGGATGGCAGGATGGCGTGTGGTCTGGGAGTAGTTCCTGGCCTATCAGGGAGCACCCAGATCTGCCCACTCACACCCCCATCCTCCTCCCTACCCGGTTATTCCCGTTCTCTAAGACCCCAGACTGCCACCCCAGGCTGCTCCCCCAGGCTTTCCACCCACAGGCTGCTCCCCCAGACTGCCACCCCAGACTGCTCCCCTAGACTGCTCGGTGACATTTATCATCGGATCTTTGTCTTGAAGTGAGCCATATACCTGTGTTTCTGGGTGAAGCCTGTTAGGACTAAAGTTCAGTTCTCCATCCAGGTCAATAAGATAAGGGCTTTCTGCTTAGAACATATGAAAAGGTACTTGAGAAAACATGGAAACTCTTGTCAACTGATGACGTTGAGTCTAGACACAGACAGACACACACACATACCCTTTGCTCCCTGGAATCAGCTATCTGCTTTTTAAGGGGTGATAAACCGGCAGGGCGAACCATCCATTGCGATGAGGAAGGGGTCAATCAGACGCTGTGAGGTGCAGGGGAGAGGCCCGGAGGCTGGTTTCCAGGTCAGTCCTCATTCCTAATAACTTAGTGACCTTAAACATGCAGAGCTCTCAGTTACTCTTAGATAAGAGAGGGCTAATCAGTCCCGAAGTGTAATTGTGAACTATATCCATCAGAGAATGTTTATAGGATTATTTGTGCCTGCGCCAGGTCCTGAAGGAAATAAAGAAAATGGTTGTCAGATACCATTTAGCGCCTAAAAGACAGGAAGAGGGAAACTGACATGTATTGACCGTCAGCTATACCCTGGCATTCCATGCATTGTCTCATTTAATTCTCACAATAATCGTATGAGGTTCTTACTGTTACTGTCCCTGGTTTTCAAAAGAAGAAATGGAGGCATAGAAGGATTAAGTAATCCTCTAACAGACACACAGCTAGCAAGTACAGAACTGGAACACAAATCTCTCCCACATCAAAGCCCATGTTCCCATCCTATTTACCGGGCTGTCAGTTTATAACCTAGCTGGGAAAAGCAACAGTAATTAATAAAGTTAAAAAGTAACCTGTAGGATGATACCCAACTTTGAATGCTATAGTTGCTGGAGAAGGTTCATGAAAGAGATGGAACTGGAATGTTAATGTCATTGCTTGATTATTTTACCTTTTGGCTCATCTATGAGTATTTTGAGAATTCATTTGGAAATAATTGTTTAGCAACAATTACTGAAGGAATTTACACAAGAAGCAAACAGACCATAGGCTCCTGTCATGCTTCAGTATTATGCAAATAATTTTCTTTTGGGATCTTCTAAGTTGTCACAAACACAGAAGTCAATAAAGACAGCATTTAGCACTTTCTATTGCCTATTAGATGCATATCTTTTACAACAGATGTACCCTGCCATCTCTTCTCTCTCCTTTTTATGCCTATGTACAGTATCAATTGAAGGACAGTACGCCCCACTTCTTATTTCTCTTCCCCATGGACCTAAAATGCTAGTCTCTGAGGCACATTTAAGAGGGTAGGAATATGTCCACGAATCCATAGAGTTGAAAAGAGGTCCCAGTTAGCAAAGAAGGGGCAGTATTTTTCTTATCTTGTGAAAGCAGCAATGAACCAGCTACAACAATAAATGGTTTATTCTCTGTGTATATATATAGGAAGGAGCTCCATAGCGTTTTGTGAAATAAATTATTCTTTGGCTAAAAAGTTTGACCTAGGGTGGGAAAATGCCCACAACCACCATGTTCTTAATTTGGGGTTTCTAGCGAGGTACTTATCCTCCTTGGGATGTGCCCACAGTCATTTAAAATGCCAGCCACTGGGGACATTACCACTGCCTCCCAGTGATGTAAGAATGTGCTGTAGTTTCCTGTGGATGGCAGGAAGAAAGACGTGGCAGCCTCCTCTGGCCTTTCCTCCTCCTCTTGTGTCTGCAGGAATCAAGCCTGCAGTCACGAATGTGGTGTTTGGAGGTCTGTTGAGAGTAATAGCAGAAGGTGGAGGTGGCTCCTGTTGGATGTTGGATCTGATTTTTTTAAAATTATTATTTAATTCTATTTATTGATTATTTTAGAGAGAGAGAAACATCTATTTGTTGTTCCACTCATTGATGCGTTCATTGGTTGCTTCTTATTTGTGTCCTTACCAGTGATTGAACCTGTAAATATTTCTCTCTTTTCCGTGTCCTGCGAGGCTAGAGAGCGGTCTGGTTCCTGAGTAGGGATTGCTGGGGATTGAGAAAATGAAAGAGACAGACATAGAGATAGAAGGGAAAAGCTGAGGCTGGGTGGGACCACTGTCCTCTAATAGGGACTGGGACCCAGAGCCAATTATACAGCAAAAACCAGGAAGTTTTACTAAAAATCAAGGCAAAGGAATTCATTCCTGGTGCTTGGCTTGATTTAAATAACAAAACCCACCCTCTGGCACCTGGGCTGAAGGTCAAGCTGACTGTACTCCTGCCTCTGGCAGAGTGTGTTTCCTGGACGGTGGCTTTGTCCACGCCACTGGATTCAGCTGACAATAATTAAAGAAATGCCCCTATGCCTTACCAGGCACTCTATACAGAACCCACAACCTTGGCATATCAGAACAACGCTCTACCCAACTGAGCTACCCAACTCGGGCTGTTGGATCTGTTTTTGATCTGTTGGAAGACTCCCCAATGATGTAGGAATCTTAGTGAAGATAAACACTATACCTTAAAGATTTTTCTTGTTGCTCAAAACATTCAAAATCCTTAATTGCTATTTACTTACACAAAAACTAAGGGAGTCTAGGAAGGGGAAGATTGAGTTGGAGTATGGGACGTAACCATTTGTGTTTTTCTCTTTTATACACTCTACAGAGGAGGTAGGAGTTTCCTTCATACAGAGGAGTTTGAAGCAGGAGGGTCGAGTTTTTATTCTGAGTTTTGGGAAGTAGAGGAAAAGGAAATTAATTGTCTAGTGTTTTTCATTATTCAATTTTTTAAAAATGCATTCTGCAGGCACTTTGATCTGTGAGCACATCGCAACATGTTGAGTCAAGTCTGCCGCCCTGGCTTCCAGCCCTTCAACCAGTGTCTCCTGCGCTGGGCTCAATCCACAGCTCTCTCCAGATCCCGTATGTACCACAGGACACTTAGAAATGTGGGAAGCTTGGACAGCCTGTGCTTCAAACAAGGTTTTAAAGGAGGGAAAATATAAAATGGTGGAATTGGACAAAAACAGTAAGCAAGGACGCAGCCTAGTGTTGAGTCCAAGTGTTTATATCAATAAAGTGAAACTTTGAGACATGATAGTTTTATGAAATAGATCGTGGTGGTAGGTTCATGAATATATGTTTATCTCCAAAGTTATCAAGTTGTTTACATTAATTGAGTACAACATTCTGTATGTCAAATAAATAATTCGAAATGAAAATGAAAATTTAGCCCTGGTTCAATTGCATGAGCATCATCCCATGTACCAAGAGGTCACTGGTTCCATTCCCAATCAAGGCACATGCCCCAACTGCAGGCTCGATCTCCAGAAAGGGACAGCCAATTCCCCCTCTCTCCCCCTGTCCTTTTTTCTCTCTAAAGTCAATAAAAACATGTTTTTAAAAATTTGTTTAAATAAAGTGTCATCTTTATTCATTCCTTCCTCCCAAATTTTTTACAGGCTATTTTTGTTCATCACTTTTTTTGTAATTAAGTATTTTTAATTTTGAGATAATTATAGATTCATTTGCAATTATAAGAATTAACACAGAGTCATTCCTCATACCCTTTACCCATTTCTCCCAATATGTCAGCCAGGATATTGCCATTGATAGAGTCAAGATATAGGATCCTTCAGATTTCTCCTTTCAAGCCATCTCCCTCCTCCCAATCTCTAACTCCTGGCAACTTCTACTGTGTTCTTCATTTTTATAGTTTTGTCATTTCAAAATCTTATACAAATGAAATTATAAAGTATGTGACCAGTGGGGATGGCTTTTTTTTTTTTTAACTCAGCAAAATTCTCTGGAGACTTATTCAATTTGTGTGTGTAAACTGGTTCCTTTTTATTGTTGAATTGTATTTAATTCACTCATTGAAGGGCAACTGGTTGTTTCCATTGTTTGACTATTATGAACGTTTAAGTACAGGATTTTGTGTGAACATAGTTTTCATTTGTCTGAGATAAATGCCCAAGAGTTCAATTGCTGGGTCATGTGGTAGTTAGTTTTATAAGAAACTGCCAAACTGCTTTATATTCCTTTTTATATTCACACCAGCAATGTATGAGTGATCCACTTTCTCTTCATCTTCACCAACTTTGACAATGATTTCATTTTATCCATTCTGATAGGTGTGTAATGATATCTCATTGTGGTTTTAATTTGTTTTTCCCTAAATGGCTTATGATGTTGAATATCTTTTCATGTCCTTATTTGCCATTTGTATATTCTCTTCAGTGAAATATCATTTGCTCATTTGTAATTGAATTGTTTGGTTTTTCACTGTGGAGTTTTGAGAATTATTATTTAGATCTTAGTCCTTGGTAGATATGTGGTTGGGACCTATTTCCTCCCAGTTTGTAGTTTGTCATTTCATTCTCTTAACAGAAAAGTTTTTAGTTTGTTTATGCTTTTTTGTGTTTGGGTTTTTAAAAAAAAAAAAAATTGATGAGTTCCAATTTATCAGTTTTTTCTTTTATACATTATACTTTTGGGGTCAAGTCTAAGAACTCTTTGAATAGCCCTAGATTTTCTTCATTTCTTTTTTTCTAAAAGTTTTATAGTTTTACATTTAAGCCCATGATCACTTTGAGTTAATTTTTATGTAAGTTGTGAGGGTTAGTTGTCGCATGGGCCAATGGATGTGTAGTTGTTGCACCACCATTTGTTCAAAGGCCTTTTATTATATTTTGAATTGGCTGTCCCCTTGATAACATCTAAATCTTATCAACAGTCTGGCTCCAAACCTTACTGCAGAAGACATGCTTATCAACTAATCAAGCTTATTCTCATCTGGAAAAATCTCTATTTCCCAGTCTAGTAAAGAGGAGGTCAAGGTCTAGATGTAGGCTCTCTGGGTTTGAAAACTAATTCTGCTACTTGCTTTGTAAGTAACTCAGTGACTGCAGCTATGGAGTTAAGCCACAATTTTATGGGTTGGCATGATGGACCGGGCTCAGCTGCACAGTGGTCTGTGTCTGGGTTAGTTTTCACATTGGCTCAGGGCTGACTGTTGGGGGCGGGGGTGGGAGTGAGAGCTCTGCTGGGATGATAGGTCATCTCTCTTCCATGTGGTCTCTCATCCTCCAACAGGCTATCCATGGCTTCTTCACATCATGGTTGGGGTCAGGGTAAGTCATAGCACCAGCTCAGATTCAAGGGGTGGGAAAATAGGCTCTCTGTTGGTGAGAGAAGCTTCAAGTATTGAGGCCATTTTTACAATCTGGTAATGTTGGTGAGTTACTCAACTTCTCTGGGCCTTGGTTCCCTTATTTAAAAAATGAGGCTAATGATAACTAACTCATAATTCCTAAGCTATGAGTATTAACTTACGAGAATTCAGTAAGATGACAGTGATGATGATGACGATAGCTAACACTTTCAGCTAATACTTGAATGTTTATTTTGTGCCAGTCCTTTAGTGCATTAACTCTTTCCTTCCCTCACAACTTTATGTGATATGTAAAGGTTACAGTAAGTAAGTGGACAGTTGAGATTCCTACCTAGACAGTCTGGCTCCAGAGTCTACACTTGACCTTTTATATATCCTCTACCTTATAAAGGTGTATGAATAGTTAACACAGCTCTTGGTATGTAGTAAGTATTCACGTCAATATTTTTTTTAATATATTTTATTGATTTTTACAGAGAGGAAGGGAGAGAGATAGTTAGAAACATCAATGAGAGAGAATCATCGATCAGCTGCCTCCTGCACACCCACCACTGGGGATGTGCTCGCAACCAAGGTACATGCCCTTGACCGGAATCGAACTTGGGACCTTTCAGTCTGCAGGCTGATGCTCTATCCACTGAGCCAAACCGGTTTCGGCCATGTCAATATTTTTATTGGTGATATTATTTCTTCTCAGTAAAATAATATGAATGAGGCACTTTCTGATCTTGTCCTAGATTTATTTTTCTATATTTGTATCCAGATTTTTCTGGGTCCTGGAGCCCTGTATTCCATGATAAGCAGAAGAGAACTAAAGAAATTAAAAGGGCAAAGTGTAAAAGCATATAGATACAAACACAGAGGGAAGTGGAAAGCCAGAAAGGGAGAAAGAAATAATGTCAGAGTTCCTTCTTGTTCAGGCCTGGAACTCAGCCTCATTGATTGTGAGGCATAAGGGCTCTGATGCTGAAAGGTAAAGGGCTTGTCCTCCCTTAGAGTATGATCCATGTCACTTTTGAGGAGTATGGAAAACCTTACAGTACTTCCCTTCCCCCAGCCCCCAACACGTACACCTCAGCAGCCCCTCAGACTTACTTGGAGGTGATGGCTATTCTCTGGGACTTAGAGCCTAAAGTTAGAAGATGGAAAGAGATTACTCATCCAAAAGCCTTAGATTTTTCCAAAGTAATCGAGGCCTTCTCAGTCTTCAGTTTGGACCCTAAAAGGTATAATACGCTGCAGAACATAAAAGAATGCCACCAAGAAGGGTAGGGTCAATCTGGGAGGGTGAGAGCCCTGTTAAACAAGAAACCCAAAAACCCTGGGTCCCATAGAACTGTCCTTGGTGCTCTAGCCCACTGGATGTGTGTGGCCTCTTGAACCTTCTCAGCCCTGATCCACTGTGACCCAGTTGCCAGCAGCCAGAGCGAGCCTTGACTGCCACCCTTTGCTGATACAGGCTAACCTAGCCTGACTGATTCTGCTAGGTTTCTGTCATCTGATCACCTGAACTGACATATGTGCTACTATTTGTGTCTCTGAGGTGTCCTCCGAGGCTGCCCCACCCATGTCAGCACACTTCCAGGACAGGACACGCCCTGTAGTGACAGGAGAGAAAGATAGCCAGCAGGCCTGGTCTGAGAGCTGTCTAAGGGTGCATGATACCTGGGTGTAACTCGGAGCTCTGCAGCCACTGATGATCCCAGGTCCAAACCCCAGGGCAGTAAGTCTCTCCCTCTATCACCTCTTTCCCTGTCAGGTCAGCGAGGCCAGACTGTTATGTATACAACTTTTAAGCTTAAACGTAGGTATATATATTGCTTGGGATATGTAATATCCTTGAAGACTGAGCCAGGCTCCCTATATTGATGAACCTAATGAAGAAAGGGAGCTCTCCAGAGAACTTAGGCCCAACAGCAAACAGTCCTTTGGTCTCTGGGATCCCCCAGCAGGAAGAGACAACCCACCCGTTAGCAAGGGTGCCAACCGCCAGGTGTATCCAAGATGATGGACTTACTGAGCAGCTTTCTGCCAGCAACTGGACTGCAAGCCCATTGTGAAAGGAGACATGTTACCTTTCTGGTATCTCCAGCAGACTTGAAACATAGTCACTTTAAAAAGTGATTATTTAAGCCAAAACCGGTTTGGCTCAATGGTAGAGTGTTTGCGGTCTGAAAGGTCCCAGGTTCGATTCCGGTCAAGGGCACATTCCCGGTAGGGGGTGTGCAAGAGGCAGCTGGTCGATGTTTCTCTCTCATTGATGTTTCTAGCTCTCTATCTCTCCCCCTTCCTCTCTGTAAAATATCAATAAAATATATATATTTTTTAAAAGTGATTATTTAAGAGAGGGAAGGTTTGTGTGTGAAGGAGGCAGTGAGGGAGGAGAATATAATGATCTTCTGGTCCACAAGAATAAGACTGCCTGCTGTACCCACCATTGTTATAGCTTAGAGAAAGGGCTAGAAGCTGGATTACAGTTAGAGGAGTTAGTGGTCCATAGTCAGGAGATAGAGGCAGTGGGTCTAGGGCAAACCTGCAAATATAAATGGAGGTAATAATCTTTGAGTCAAGTGGAGGAAGTTATTCTGTAATAGTACAATTACAGAATAATGGGCCAAAAGGTGGCTGGGAATGGTTCTTTAGTAACTCATTAATGCCTGTAATGATACGGAGCGAGCTCTTGGTGTGGGAGGGATGCCTAAAGTTTAGTCTGCTGAGAGCCTGTGTTGCCTGTTGCCCAAGTTGTCTTGCCTCTTACAATCGGAATCCCCCCAAGTGCAAGTCCATTCGCGGTGAGTGAGACCACCTGTCAACAACTCACGTCCACAGCCAGCTTCTCTCTCCATGCAGGCCTCACCTGTCCTTCTGCCTATCCCCTCGTTCTGCTTCTGTGTTCCGCAGTTAGACCAGGGGCAGGTAACAGAAAACCCAAAACATAATGGCTCAACCAGGATAGAAATCGGTTTCTCTTTCCCTGGAGAGAAGCCGGGGTCCTAAAAGGAGGGAGGCAGTCCAGGGCTTCCAGGTCGAACGTGAAAACATCAGGCTTCACAGTTCTACCGTGTTTTCTGTGGTCCACAGTGGATGTTTGAGCTACAGCCTTCATCCCCACGTTCCAAGCAACAGGATCGAAAGAGAGAAGAGGGAAGCATTTTTCCTTTTTTTTTTTTTTTTTTTAACATTTTTTTGTTCACCTTTAATATAATTCCAGTCAAAGGCATCAGTAGGTAAATAACATTGAGTAAGAAGGAGAGGAGACCCTAAAAGACAGAATGGTTCTACGTGTAGAGTAATTGAAGGGCTCTGAGCTGTTGCACCTTTGTTATTTATCTGGGAATAAACAATAGCCATGAATTGGCACAAATAGATGTGGTTGTTGGCAGCCGTGGGTTCACATCTCACACAGGAAGCTCTTTTCCTTTTAAGGAAATTCCTTGAAGTTCCACCTAACGTTTTCATATGTATTGTGTTAACCAGAACTTAGTCACATGGCCATGTCTAGGTGAGCAAGAACATCTGGGAGCTGCAGTCTGACTGGTGGCAGTGTACACCCTGCTAGAACAGGAAACCTAATTTGTGAGAGAGGGCACGTGGGTAATTGGTAAGAGTTTGTTGTTTTTGTTTTGCCTCCTTAGAAATCTTATACAGTTTTACCCGCCCCGCCTCCATTCCCCCCCCCCCCCCCAAAAAAAGAAAGGAATCAATAAAGGTTGCTTAGGGGCATATGACCCAAGGGATAGAAACAAAATGTCTGACTCCAAACATTACTCTTCCTTCAGAAAGCTATCTAGTTCCTTTTATCATTATCAGCACCTGGATTCATGCTGCCTTGTCAGAGAGGAACTTTGTAGCTAGATTAGTTATAATATTTTTTATTATTCCTACTAATTATTTTGCTCTTAATTGTCTTTGCTAATCAGACTCACTGTCTTTTTATAGTGGTTTGGCTTTTAAAGCACATAAACTGTATTTTTATTATTATTATTTTTTAAATATATTTTATTGATTTTATACAGAGAGGAGGGAGAGAGATAGTTAGAAACATCGATGAGAGAGAGTCATCAATCAGCTGCCTCTTGCACACCCCCTACTGGGGATATGCCCGCAACCAAGGTACATGCCCTTAACCGGAATCGAACCCGGGACCCTTCAGTCCCTAAGCCGATGCTCTATCCATTGAGCCAAACCGGTCCCGGCTGTATTTTTATTATGAAAGTACTGCATTTTTACTGCATAAATTTGGAAAACAGATAGGGATAAAGAAGAAAATTAAATCACTCATAATTGTTTTGATTTATTTTCTGCATTTAGACATGTCTAGGAAACATACCATGAGCCTTTTCCTGTTTTATTAAAAATCTAAAAATGTTCATTAATCCATCTTCCCTTTTTTTAATTGATTTTGGGGGGGAGGGGGGAAGAGAGAGAGAGAAACATCAGTGTGAGAGTGAAACTTCAATCCACTGCCTCTCACATGCCTCCTACTCAGGATTTAGCCTGAACCTGGGCATGTGCCCTGACCAGGAATCAGACCTGCAGCCTTTCCGTTCGCAGGATGATACCCAACCAACTGAACTACACCAGCCAGAGCAGAGATTTGTAAAACTTTTTAAGGTTTTAAAATATATATTAATATATATATATATATATATATATATATATATATATAGTGTGTGTGTGTATATATATATGTATGTATGTGTTTTTATTTATTTATTTGTTTTACATAGAGGAAGAGAGAGGGATAGAGTTAGATACATTGATGAGAGAGAAACATCAATCAGCTGCCTCCTGCACACCTCCCACTGGGGATATGCCCGCAACCAAGGTACATGCCCTTGATTGGAATCGAACCTGGATCCCTTGAGTCCACCGAGCCAAACCAATTAGGGCAAGGTTTTTAATATAATTTGCCAACACATCTTCAGGAAAGATCATTTTGTTTGAACTTTTCACCAGCAGTGTTTGAGTGTACCTGTGACCTGTGTAGTGGGTACATGCTAGATATGACTTTTGATATACTGGTTTTACTTGTTTAAGAATGCTGAAGCTATTTTTTAATGGCTAAACTGGTTACTACTGTGCATATAATATATCTTTTTAATTATTTTGTGTATGTGTGTTTTTTCCCCCTTTTTTTTTCCTTCTTTTTTTCATTCAACTTTGTTTGGGGGCTACAGATCCTGCCCAGACTTCAACCGTCAGAAATGTCCGTTCTTGGAGCAACATCCCATTTATCACTGTACCCCTTAGTCGCGCACATGGCAAGTCTTTTGCCCACCGCAGTGAGCTGAAGCATGCCAAGAGAATCGTGGTGAAACTCGGAAGCGCCGTGGTGACCCGAGGGGATGAATGTGGCCTGGCACTGGGACGCCTGGCATCTATTGTTGAGCAGGTAACTGCCAAGATGGAACCAAAATAAAATAGGGTTTTTAAGCTGTCGGTTCAGGATTATCTGCTTGTACAAATAATCTTGATTTGAGTGTAATAGAGTTAACCCAATTGAAAACTCCCTTTCTCACTGAAGGTGCCAGTGGGAGATACCATCCTACAGTAAGCAAAAAGGGGTTGTCAAGGAGAGAGCTGATTCTTTAGTTCATCTCTCGAGCTTCTCAGTGACCAGGAGCTGTACATGTCAGTGATTCTCAATCCTGCTGCACATTAACATTCTCAGGACCTGGAGATGCCAGGGCTGCACACTCAGTCATTTAATACTAGAGGCTCGGTGAACAGATTTGTGCACCAGTGGGGTCTCTGGGCCTGGTCTGTGCAGATTGGGCCAAAGCTGGCTCTCCAACATCCCCTGAAGGGTTCTGGATTGTGAGAGGGTGCAGACCAGGCCGAGAGACCGCAGGAGGGCACCAGGTCGCGTCCAACCCATCTCGCCCAGTCCCGATCTGCTGGACCACAGCAGCAAGCTAACCTACTAGTTGGAGCGTCTATTCCCTGGTGGTCAGTGCATATCATAGCTACTGGTCAAATGGTTGGACACTTAGCATATTAGGCTTTTGTTATAGGATGTGTCTCTGGGGTGGGGCTCAAGCACCATTGTTTTTAAAGTTTCCCAGGTGCCTCTAAGATATAATTAGGGTTTAGAATTCAGGGGGATGTGTGTAAATATTGAGCTTTTTCCTGTTTTGCTGGGCTTTTTCTTTTTTAATTAGCCCAATAATCTTAAACTAAATAGGAGCTATCATTGCAAAGATTTTCCAAGGCCATATATTTAAAAAGGACTCACCAGACTCCACAGAGAATACCCATGTAAGGCTTTCATTTAAGGCAAAGAATACAGGCAGCAGGAGAGAGTGTGCAAACAAACAGTGGGGGTCTGAGAGACAGGAACAACACTTAGTCTCCAGATTGAATCCAGGATATCTGTGTAAGGAATATTGACTTTAGAAGAGTTCAAAGCAGAACTTTCCGGTGGGGATTAATGCTCCACTGGTCATGCAGTCACGCCTGGCCGACCACAGGTTATCAGTAAAGAAACTGACCTTGGGGGTTGATAGTAGGAATTTTGGACTTTAAACCTGTCACAGATCCCACCACCCTTATCTTTGCTGAGAGCAAGGATCAGAAATTTTTTCTACAAAGGGCAGATAGTAAATGTTTTAGGCTTTTAGGCCATGTCTGTGTCTCAGCTTCTCAGTGCTGCTGTTGTAGCACAAAGCCACCATAGACGATACGTAAATGAATGAGCATGGCTGGTTCCAGTAAAGATTTGTCTATAAAAACTGGTGCAGGACAGATTTGACCTGTAGGCCCTAGTTTGCCAGTGCCTGACCAAAGTCAAAACCAGAATCCAGTCATCCTGGAGCTAAAGCTAGAGCTTTTCCACTCTGGCTATAACTCACCTCAATCGTATATTCAGTTTTTAATAACTTTACTAAGGAGCTGGTATTAGGGTACCGCTAACCTGAAATTCAATGGCGTCTTTTTTTTCATTTCATTTTTTTTAATTTTATTATGGTCTCACATAATTGCCCTTATTCCCCCAATCCCATCCCAAACCTCTCCCTATTTTCTCTACTGAGCAATAATCAAATCTTCCAAATTGAGTCCATGAAATCAATTCAGCTTAACAAATATTTGTGCAAGGGCTACATTCTGAAGCGCTTGTGGAGCCAGGACTGGGACTCCTGAAACAATTAGGTGACTGTTTAAGGCAGTAAGTATTTAAATGAATTTTATATTCCTATAAACTGGGCCCAAATGACAATCACTGATGGGTCCAAAGATGGGAAAGTCAAATGACAGTGTGGTTGGTTACTCTTGGGGCTTCCTAGGAGAGCTGGGACTCAGCCTGGGCCTTTACACCTGGCTAGATTTGCACCAACAGAGGGGAACTGTTCCATGCTGCTGTGTGCACAGTGAATGGCGTCCCCGGAGTTGTGCACAGTGTGAGTGGCGCCCCCAGATTGTGCACAGTGTGAGTAGAGCCCCCGGAGTTGTGCACAGTGTGAGTGGCGCCCCCGGAGTTGTGCAGTGTGAGTGGCGCCCCCGGAGTTGTGCAGTGTGAGTGGTGCCTTTGGAGTTGTGCAGTGTGAGTAATGCCTTTGGAGTTGTGCAGTGTGAGTGGTGCCCCCGTAGTTGTGCACAGTGTGAGTGGCGCCCCCAGATTGTGCACAGTGTGAGTAGAGCCCCCGGAGTTGTGCACAGTGTGAGTGGCGCCCCCGGAGTTGTGCACAGTGTGAGTGGCGCCCCCGGAGTTGTGCACAGTGTGAGTGGTGCCTTTGGAATTGTGCACAGTGTGAGTGGTGCCTTTGGAGTTGTGCACAGTGTGAGTGGCGCCCCCGGAGTTGTGCACAGTGTGAGTGGTGCCTTTGGAGTTGTGCACAGTGTGAGTGGCGCCCCCGGAGTTGTGCAGCCAGCGCTGCTTAGAAGAGGCTCTGCAGGTGGATCCACATGGGAGACAGGCAGGGAGGAGTTTGTGAGCAGGGGCAATGATCTCTTCAGGGAGAATGGGAAGTGGATCATTCCATCAGACAGGGCTTTGGCAAGGTAGAGGAATTGGGGTCCAATCACAAAAGCATTTTGAAGATTTTTGAGCAAAAGAGAAAGTTGAAACAGTGAGGAGAACCTGGTAATGATTTCTTAAGTCACCAGCTCCCCTTCTAGAAATATGCATGGACCTAACGGAAGGACTTTCTGGGTCAGGGCAGTGCTAATATGTCTCATCTAAAGCACCTGATCATGTACACTGGACGCAGGAGCCAAATTGGCTTCCCCTGGCCAAAGAAGCAGCAATAATTACCGCAGCAAATTTAAACACATGAAGTGTGTTTAATGCATAAATTCATAATGATACTTTAAAATGAGTTATTTTAACTAGAGGATCTACTCATTATTTTAAAAACTGGTAAATAAAGGAAAAGAGGCACACATCTGTCCTGCCTTTCATAAATAAATTATACCTCAAGATGATCAAGCACTTAATGAAGGAAAATTTCTATTTATGAAAGTGTTTAGTCTATGAATGAAGAAAAAATGAATAAATTTGAATATCAGCCTTTTGAAGCCCTAATAATTGAGATCTTAGTGATTATCATAAATAGCTGTTAACATCACAAAAAGAGAGATAACCAGGAAATATGTGTCCCCTTGATTGTCACCATGACCTATAAATTCTTGACAAAACAAATCAAGCCTCCATACCTGGTAGCAGTTTATAAGAATATAAAATACAGCCAGTGTGGGTCAGTGGTTGAGTATTGACCTATGAACCCAGAGGTCACAGTTTGATTCCCCATTAGGGCACATCCAGATTGGCGGGTTCAGTCCCCAGTAGGGGGTATGCAGGAGTCAGCCAATCAATGATTGTCTCTCACTGGTGTTTCTTTCTCCTTCTCTGAAATCAATAAAACCATATTTAAAAACAAACAAACTTACACCACAAGGACACAAGCAGAGAAATTGAGGCTGGGATAAACAACATCAATTCTTTAACAAAAAATGGGGGTGGGGGGAGTGCACCTATGGATTAAAAGAGATGTAAGAGATATTTCAGTTAATTGCAATATATGGGCTTAATTTGCATCTCAGTTTGAGCAAGCTGAAAAAAATGAAGAATTGTGAACATTGACTTGATATTAATGAATTAAATGTTTTAGATGACAGTGGTTTTATGGATGTGTGTGTGTGTGTATATATATATATATATATATATATATATATATATATATATATAGCATGTCCCCAACAAATGTATACACACTTTAACGCTGATAGCTCAATTGATGTTTCTTTTCAGATTTAACTTATTGGAATGTATAATTATTCAAAGTGTATATACATTTTTGGGTACACCCTGTATATTCCATGTATTTTAGCAATTACTCCTAGGATATTTACAGATGAAATCATATGTCTGGGGCCTTGGGTTTTGTATTGAAATAATGCGGAACTATACAAGGAGTATTGGAAAGTGAGATATTGGCCATGAGAGATCGTTGTTGAAGTGGAGTACATTGGAATTCATAATACTGTTCTTACCACTTTGGTTAAGTATGAGACTTTCTGTGGTAAAACATTATTTTTTAAAATAACTTAGCGAGTTCCTGAACCAGGTTAAAGGGTTCAAGCATCAGGAATAAAGGACAGGTTAGGAATATTGACTGTATTTGCATCTTGACTCCTTGATTCTTACATGTGGATCTGTCCAAGGTAGGAGGGAAAGGGACTAGGACCTGGGCAGAGCCGAAAAGGGTGAGCATCTGTCTCTGGTCCAGCCAAAGGTGACCATAGCAGACATATCCCCTTAGGATTTGAATTAATCCGCTAAGCTTATGTTGCAATTCCAGCTCCAAACTTTTTTTCTGGCCTTTTTTCCCCCCTGTAACAACAAGGCCTTTTGCAGAGACTAAACTCAACAGACACCGTCAAGCCCTATAGATGCCAGAACTGGCTACACACCAGAATCCCTTATTAAAAAGCTCTGATTTCTGTCTGCCACCTGCTCACCAGATTTGAGTCAGCATGTAGGAATCTAGATTTTTACCAAGCAACTTGGGTGATTCTTCCCAGGGCCAGCCCAGGGCTGGTCCATAAACCAGCATTTGAGATCTATTCAGTTGTCCATCTTACCTGCATTTCTTGTAAAGAGAGGAAAGATGTTACAAGTGACTTGTGCCTCTTTGTTCCTCACTGTCAGGTGTCAGTGCTACAGAATCAAGGCCGAGAGATGATGCTGGTAACTAGTGGAGCCGTAGCTTTCGGCAAGCAACGCTTGCGCCACGAGATCCTTCTGTCTCAGAGCGTGAGGCAGGCCCTGCACTCGGGGCAGAACCAGCTGAAGGAGATGGTGAGTGCTGCTTCCCACCCCTTGGAATGGGCCGTCAGGCCTCCCTCCCTCTCTCTCAATTGCACCTTGTCTGTTGGTGTGCTCCAGGCAATTCCTGTCTTAGAAGCCCGAGCGTGTGCAGCCGCGGGACAGAGTGGACTGATGGCCCTGTATGAAGCCATGTTTACCCAGTACAGCATCTGTGCTGCCCAGGTGAGAGGCTGCCCTTTGCAAGAGGGCATGGGCCCGTGAGGGTGATTCCCATGGAGGAAGAAGATCATGAGCACCAGAAGACAGTCTGGGCTTCAGCACTTGTTAATTGGAAGATCTGGAGAAACTCTTTCAACCTAACCTTTTTGTGCCTTGGTCTCTTCCTCAGAAAAATGAGGATAATATCAGTGCCTATGTCGGAGGGTTTCTGGATGGGCTTACTGAGAACATACTACATGAAAAGCATGTAATGCAGTGTTTAATAATAAGTGTTAGCTCTGGTTGTTATACTAGTACCTCTTAGGGCTGTAGCTGCTAATTCTTCTGAAGATAGATAACTTTATTTCATTGGCTTGCTTCACTTGGTAGCGGTTACATTGAAGGTTAAAATGAATGTTGGTGGTTGGTTAGGTTTTTATTCATTCAGCAAATATTTTGGGGGTACCTATGGTGTACTACGGAATCTGTTAAGCATTGCGGATACTGTGGTGAACAAGTCAGCCATGGTTCCAGTCTCCATGGAATTTAGAAATTTTTAGTGTTCTGAATGTTCTAGAACCTTATTTCTACCTTTTTTCTTTTTTACCTAAATTTCCAGAATTTTAAAAAATTATATTTTTTATCATCTAAACAACTGCACACTGAATAGAAAGATCAAAATATCACGAAACAACTGAATGGTCACTTCACAAAACAACTGAAAAAATCTAACTCCCCAGGTTACTCTTTTCAGACTTCCTTGCTGCCTCTGACACTTACACGGGTTATTTTACACGGTGCTGATATATGTGCATCTTTCACTTCCCATTGCTTTGTGTCCCCCTCATTTTCACAGTTGTTATTCAGGGATGTTCTGGAATTATACTAGAGTGTCCTTGAAAAAGTGAGCTGAAACAGGAGGGTGTGGACCTCTCCACCTGTTTCCTGTGGCTGGAGACCCCACTCTGTCATCTTAGCTTTTGTGGGTGGTTTTTTTTGTTTGTTTGTTTTTTCCCCTGTTAGCATAAATATAATGGAAATCTCAATTTCTTTCACCTTTTATTATCAGTTCTCTGCTACAATCCCATGACAGTTTTAGTCTTTAATTTAAAAAAAAAAAAAAAAAATGCCTGGAGCCAAATGAGGAAACTTACATCCAGGAACTGTTTTTGTTTTGTTTTGCTTTTTCCCAGGTTTGATTTTTTTTTTTTTTTTTTTTTTTTGGTGTTTTGGTTGTTGGTTTTTTGGTGTGTGTGTGTGTGTGTGTGTGTGTGTTTAAATATATTCTTACTGATTGCAGAGAGAAACATCAATGACGAGAGAATCATTGATAAGCTGCCCCCTGTGTGCCCTCTACTAGGGATTGAGGCCGCAACTGAGGCATGTGCTTTGAACTGCGACCTCCTGATTCATAGGTTCACACTCAATCACTAAGCCATGCAGGCCAGGCAGTTGTTGGGTTTTTAATATGTTTTTATTGCTAAAGAAGAAGGGAGAGGGAGAGAGAGATGGAAGCATCAATGAGAAACTTTAATCAGCTGCCTCTTGCATGCCTTCTACTATGAATCCTGCCTGCAACCTGGACATGTGCCCTGATGGGAATCAAACCAGCAACCTCTTGGTGCATGGGTCAACAACCACTGAGCCGCACTAATCAGACTTTTTTTTTCTCTTTTTTCTTTTTTTTTCTTTTTTTTTAATGAAAGTCACATTAAAAGTCAAAGTCAGTGCACGGTAACCATCATTTCCATTAATGTTGATGTGAAGAAAGATCTCCGCCCCCTCCACTTTTCAGCAAGCATCCACCTGGGCCCCTTTCTATTGCCTTCCCACTGATCTTACCTGCCAGAAGTCTTTGCCCTTTGTACCTTATCCTGAGGTTCCTTGTTTTCTTTACTAATCTCGTTTGAAGACCGTTTTCAGGGGCTGTGGAAATCTCCAGTAAGTTGTCAAGTGAAAGACTTAAACAAGTAAAGCAGCTTATTTTTCTTCATAGACGTGACACTGGTTTGCCTGCTAACAGGTTGTCCTTCTCCAGGCACATACTTTTCTCTCTTAGGGCTCTTGTCTCCTCTCTTTTGTGTGTTCGGTTGTTTGAGCAATAGGTGTTTTCACTGGACCTTTATACCTTCTGCTTGCCTCTCCTACATACATGTGGTTACTTTTATTGTTTGACCTTTCACCACCAGGACTAGAATCCATTGTTTGCCTTTGACTCAGACCTGTTTCCTACAGGACTAGACTAAGCTTTTCTGAAGAGGAGTTTATGATCTATCTGTACAAAAACAGACCCTATTCCATCTTATCCAAACCCTCAACATTTTTGTTCTCTATCCCAGCGGCTGGTACAGGGCCTGGCATTCTGGAAGTACTCAATAAATATTCTATGGAATGAGTGAGTGAATTATTTCCCTTAGACATAACCATTTGATCTTCTTCACTTACATTTTTCTATGTCATTCAGGCTACTGTTATCTTAGTTACCATTGCCCAACCCCAGTCCAGGGCTCAGCCTTTCCCACTGCTTCAGTCCCTTCCTCTTTGACCACCTGCCTCCAACCTTCCTACTTCAGCCTGCCTTTCACCACAAGAGCCCCCTTTCTTAACCATCAGAGGGTTTTTGGTGAAACATTTTTTCATGAGCTTCAGGGTTTGTTGCCATTTATAATAGTTTCTTGACACCATCCGCCTTTACCTCTCTCCCCTGCTGAACCCTGCCAAAAACTTGAATTCAGGCAGGGGAACAGAGCTGACCACTGGCTCTCCACTCTATCTCTGAGCAGCATGTGCTCATCCCCTTCCCTGAACTAAGTTACATTTAGCTTTTCTTTCAGTGTGTGACTAAAGAGTCACCTCCGCTCACCTCTCAGATTAGCCCCACATGCTCTCACACAGTTTTTAAACTGCAGTAGTGGTCGGCCGCAGAGCGAGAGCAGTGATGACACAGCCCTATTTCTTTTTATCTCAGACACTTCCCAGCAGGGAAAACCATTCATTCATTCGCTCACCAAATGTTTCTATGTCTGAATCAGAATCTAGGATACAAAGATATTTTAGAAGTTAATGACAGTCATTACTTTCCCCAAAAGCCCTCTAAAGCAGATACATCCTTTTTTTTTTTTTTTTTTTTCTGTAAATGGGTGAGATTTGGTAGTGCTCTGAGAATTAAATTACTTTTACAATAAATCCTGATCTTCTAAGTCATTCTAACTTTTTCCTCATATCTAGAATAATTGGGTAGGCATCAAAGATGTGTGTTCCATTCCAATCTTTGTAGGATCGAAGAATCCCAATGTTTCACTTTTCTAGTCCTAGCGTCTTTTGTAAGCTATACCTAGGAATTTCATCATTTTTCTCACCCCTGTGTTTTTCATCTATTTAAACCTTTTAGATTTTGGTGACCAATTTGGATTTCCACGATGAACAGAAGCGCCGGAACCTCAACGGGACACTTCATGAGCTCCTCCGAATGAACATCGTCCCCATTGTCAACACGAATGACGCTGTTGTCCCCCCAGCTGAGCCCAATAGTGATCTCCAGGGGGTAAATGTGGGTAAAATGCTCCGAAGGGTAGAGCATGCCAGAGACACTAACGCCACGCGATGCCGCATGCACTAACACCGGAAGTCTGGTTCTGACAAGGTGGAAATTGGGAGTGAGTGGTGTCCTGACCAGCGGGGGATGAGCTCTCCTGGAGTCAGAGGGTTTCCTTCAACGGGGTCAGGTGTGATCGCGATTGAAGCTGCTGCTGTGAGCATGGCTTGTGTATGTCAGTGGATAGAAGGGTGCATGTTTGGAAAGGGGGGTTCAGAGGGGCGGTGTTTTGCAGACAGAGGAGCCTGCGGAGCCTGGCTGACTGTTTCTGTGAACTTCCTTTTGAACTGTGTAGTTCACTCACGACTTTTCACCGCATTCCAGGTTATTAGTGTCAAAGATAACGACAGCTTGGCTGCCCGGCTGGCTGTGGAAATGAAAACTGACCTCCTGATTGTTCTTTCAGATGTCGAAGGTACAAAGTAATGCCTTTTCTTTTATCCAGCCTTTGCTGCAAATACGACGAGTGTGAACATGAGTTTCCTCTTTCTTTGAGTCCTTCTGATCTTTTTATGGGACATTGTTTTCTGAGCCATGTGGTGTGAGGAAGGGTTTTATGGCTCAGAAGAAGGAGGGGGGGACTGGGAGATGCAGTTTCAATGCTGAAAGATTGTTGTTTTCCAGCTCTTTCATTTTGTTTTTTTATAATAGCTTTATGGAGAATTAATTCACAGACCATACCATTCACCTATTTAAAGTTTACATTCCAGGGATTTTTAGTGTCTTCATACAGTTTTTCAACCCTCACCACAATTTTAGAACATTTATATCCCCACCACAAGAATCCCTTCCCCATTAGCAGTCACTGTTCCCTTCCCCAGAGACTCCAGCCCCACGCAACCCTCAGTCTGCACGGTCTCTGTTAAATTTCCTCTTCTGGACATTTTTTATAAATGGAACCATGCACTAATGCTGCTTTGAACCTTTATGTACAAGTGTTAGTGTGGGTGTATTTTTTATTTTACTGGATATCATAAAGTATAACTCTTTGAAAGAAGTTCCAGACTGTTTTTCAAACCATGTTCTTACCATTTAGCCATCCAAAACATTTCCAGAATGGTACAAAATGCACCCTTTACAACCCCACTCACAGTACACAAGGGCTCTTGTTTCTCCATCTCCACAGCACTTATCTCTTGTCATCTTTTTTATTATAGCCATCCTAGCGGGTGTGGAGTAGTACATCATCTTATTTTTTATCACTTTCAGTTTTTATGTAATTCATGAGACATGATAGTTTAAATTGGAGCCACTGCGGAAAATCTAGGCTATGCGGCCAACCTGGATTATGTATTCCTCCCTCCTCAGGGAGGAGCCCCTCGTGGCTCCAGTTTGACTCTCCATTCACTCTTCCACTTTGCTGAGTTGTACCCATTTACACTTTGGCCCGTAAAGAACACGAGCTGTGTCAAAAATAGGCCAAATCTACAGGATCCCCAAAGCTCCCCATTATATTCCAGGAAGTCAGAAAAGCCTGGTTAGTACCCAGCCAACCCTCCAGGCAGAATAACCTGTGTCAAGGACATGGCCCATGCTCTGATGCTGGCCAACATTCACTTACTAAGCTGGTTATATAAAGTATGCAAGGTGTGTCTTGGAGCTGTTCCTCAGGGGGGTGGACTCTCGAAATCCGCCTGGGTAAAGCAGAATCCTTGTGGATGGGTTAAGTACATAGTAGTTGGCAGTGCGTGGGGAGGCCTCTCTTGAGGGACATTTACTTCCATTAAAACAGTATGACTGACCCTTGTTTATTTTTTTAGGCCTTTTTGACAGCCCCCCAGGGTCAGATGATGCAAAGCTCATTGACACATTTTATCCTGGAGATCAGCAGTCTGTGACATTTGGCACCAAGTCAAGAGTGGGAATGGGAGGCATGGAAGCCAAGGTAAGAATCTGGTGCCTTGCCGAAACCGGTTTGGCTCAGTGGATAGGCATTGGCCTGCAGACTGAAAGATCCCGGGTTCGATTCTGGTCAAGGGCATGTACCTTGGTTACGGGCACATCCCCAGTAAGGGGTGTGCAGGAGGCAGCTGATCAATGTTTCTCTCGCATCGATATTTCTAGCTTTCTATTCCTCTCCCTTCTTTTCTGTAAAAAAAAAATAAAATATATTAAAAATAAAATAAAGAATCTGGTGCCTTTACCACCTGTGACAGTTATAAAGCCAAAATACCATTTTATCATTTTTACTTTTATAATTCTTATGGGCTAATGTGCACATGCTAGGCACATACACAATTACATATACACATATCTAAATATAGGCTTAATGCATATTGTGTACCTGTATTGAGTCGTTTATGTATGCTTTTTTATTAATATTCTATATTATATAAAGGGTATTCATATTGTAGACTCCTTAAGGGCAAGGTCTGTATAGTTTTCATAATTCATAAATACTCTAATTAGTTATCAGCTCAAATATTTTTTGATGACATCTTACAAAAATTCTTCTCTCCCATTAATTTTTCTAAGAAGTTATGCCCTTAATGTACAGCCTCATATGTAGCAATAGTAGAGATGAGGACAAAAGCCCCATTCACAAAAGCTAAAAGTACTCAGCTTCCGACTTGGTCAGACACCCGACGGGTCACTGAGTTGAGGCTCAGTGCGTCAGATGTGGACATGGGGAGTCCCAGTGTAGAGTCTTGGAGAGAGAACACGCTGAGAAGGAAGGGCAGACTGGCTCACCTTTTGGACTGGAAAGAGTGATAGGCGGGGTCAGTTTTTGGAGCTTCTGAAACACTCCTTTATATTCTTATATTGCTCCGCATCACATTGTATTTTAAATCTTTTGCAAATTTTAAGTGCGGGTGACAAGACCCTGCAAAGGTCTGAGTCTCATCTTTGGGTCTAACCTCTCCTCTAGGTGAAAGCGGCCCTCTGGGCTTTGCAGGGTGGCACTTCGGTGGTTATTGCCAATGGAACCCACCCCAAAGTGTCTGGGCATGTCATCACAGACATCGTGGAGGGGAAGAAAGTCGGCACCTTCTTTTCCGAAGTGAAGCCTGCAGGTAAGTATTCTTCATGGAGTCCTGCGGTCGATGATCGCTAGTGACACCATGACTTAGATGGGACCACAGGCTGAGCTCTCATTCTGGGACCAGAGATCACAAAATTGATGTGCCGATGTTAGGAAATAAGGTGTTTTGAACACTATTTGCAAAATAATTTTGCTTTGCTTTTGTAAAATTGATCTAACCTTCCTAATTAGGCCTCCTAATTCTCTCTAAAATCACTAAATTAAAGAATATAAGACAATTTATCTACAAATACTGTGCTAGGCCTGGGCTGGATGCCGGATACTATGTTAATAATAAACATGAGAGATGCCTAAGATATGGTTTGTACTCTCACATGTTCACAAAGGTAGACCTGCATCACAATCTACGTTCAGACACCTAGACTAGTTAGGAAATGTCAGCCAAAGTGGAATTGAATGATGGAGACATGAGTTATATTGTCTACCCCAGAAGTACAGACAAGTTTCTTGTGTTTATGCCTGAGTTAATCTGGTATATCCTTTTGCCATTTTACTGGTCAGAGTGATCTCTGTATGTGCAACAGGCATAGCAAGATACCAATTGTATGATCCGTGCATGTGAGAAACCTGTGCATGTGCTGAGATAGTGACTGGGAACTGCGCTGACCGTGATCTGATATTTGCAAATGTGCTTGCAGGCCCTACTGTTGAGCAGCAGGGAGAAATGGCTCGATCAGGAGGACGGATGTTGGCCACTTTGGAACCAGAGCAGGTAATAACCAACCTAGCTGATAGCTCTGTTGGTTTTCAGAGTGGATCATGCTGAGGTTTAGTACACAGTTAAACCTGCTATCTCCCCCTGTGTTCCTCATGTCCCCCAGAGTTATCTGGGTTTAGCAGTAAAGCCTGGCATGCTCAGAAGAGTAGATTTAAAGGAGCAGGCATGCATTCTTCTTGAATAATGTTAATTTGTTTAATTTTCACCTTTTTTTAGAGATCAGAGATTATCCATCATCTGGCTGATCTGTTGACGGACCATCGCGATGAGATCCTGTCAGCCAATAAGAAAGACTTGGAGGAGGCAGAGGGTAAATAACCTGGCAATTTGGAGTCAGTTTTAAGCAGGGTTTTAAGTTTTATATCATAGTCTATCTAAAGTCAAGATTGTTATAGAAGAACTTGCATATTCTGTATCCTATTTATTGAGGATTGGTGGTTAATGTTTATTTGGCTTTTTCAAACTATACACACTATTCCCACCTCCTTTCCAAGATATTCTAGCACAGCCCCCATAGGAGCTTTTTCCATTCCTTACATGGCTATTATGGCAATTTCAAGACAAAGAAAAAAAGAAAAAGATTGAAGACCTCACCATTTTAGACATTCAGCTAACAGTTGCTAACATCCTCCTATAGTAGGACCTAAACAATAAAAAACTAATAGGCAAATCAACTGAACAGTGTGGAACAACTGGTTGCTATGGTGCACACCGACCACCAGGGGGCAGACGCTCAATGCAGAAGCTGCCCCCTGGTGGTCAGTGTGTTTCCCACAGGGGTAGCGCTGCTCAGCCAGAAGTCTGGCTCATGACTGGTGAGCACAGTGATGGCAGGAGTGGGCCTAAGCGGACATCCCCTGAGTGGTCCCGGATTGTGAGAGGGCACAGGCCAGACTGAGGGCCCTCCCTCTACCCCCCAGTGCATGAATGTGATGCACCGGGCCTCTAGTTTCATAATTTTCTGTGTTGCCAAGCATTGTGCTAAGGGCTTAACAGACAGAATCTCATGTGCCCTGACCAGGAATCTAATGGTGACCTCCTGGTTCATAGATCAATGCTCAACCACTAAGCCACGCTGGCTGAGCCAACAGGATCTCATTTTATCTTTGCAATATAGCACTATGAAGTAGCTGCTATTTATTATCCCGATTTTACAGAAGAAAAAGTTGAAGCAGTTTTCACATGCATGAATCCATGGCCAGTGACAGATCCAGATTTAAACCCAAATGGACTGTGTCTGTAAAATAGTTTAGAATAGTTTATGCAGCCTGTGATGAAAGACAGCTCATCTCCTAGTGTGTGGTCTGCCCAGGGCTAGCAACAGGCCCCAACAGAAATGCCGTCAAGGTGCTAATGGTAGAGGAGTGAGATGGCTGACAACTAAATGTGTAGAACCAGGTAGGCCCTCACTCTGTCTCGGCCTTTTCTTTTCTTTTTTTCTTTTTTAAATATATTTTATTGATTTTGTACAGAGAGAAAGGGAGAGAGATAGAGAGCTAGAAACATCGATGAGAGAGAGTCATCGATCAGCTGCCTCCTGCACACTCCCTACTGGGGATATGCCCGCAACCAAGGTACATGCCCTTGACCGGAATCGAACCCGGGACCTTTCATTCCCCAAGCCGACGCTCTATCCATTGAGCCAAACCGGTTTTGGCTATCTCGGCCTTTTCTTAATTCACTGTCCTTGGCACCCTAAAATAATGGAGATTGGTTTTAATGGGATCTTTTAATTTTCTTTTGAGTAAACGTGCCTTAAATTAAACATCAAGTTAGTTTTATGACCTTCAAAGAAACCTTGCAAGGCTCATCAACATTATTTCCATTCCTTAATACATGTTTGAGCCATTGCTTTGGAACTTCCTGTAGAGTTTACATCTGGTCTTTTGAATTTGTGTAGTATTGGAAAATCATAAAATAAACTCTCAGAAATGGAAATCTTTGATGACATCCTATCCATTAATTTAAAGCAAAAGAATTAAGACCCACAGAGGTTAAAGCTGTTTTTCAAAATCATGACTTGTGGTTAACATTCCAGTTATCTCTGGAAATTCACGTGACCACATGGTGTCTTGAGAACAAAGTCCTGGGTATCCATGAGCATGGTAATCCTCTTTCACTCAGTAAGCCCATTGCAGGAAATTTATCCCAAGAAAATACTTCAAGAGGAGAAAACAGCTCTCTATGTGATGATTTTTAGAGCAGGATTACTTGTCACACTGAAAACCAGAAAAAAACCTGGGTGTCCGATAACGTAAGTGTGGTTAAGTGCATTAACCCGTATCAACTCAATGAAATATTCAGTAGTAATTAAATAATTTTTGCAACTTGGGAAATGTACATGCATTGTAAGGTGAAAAACTAGAGTGTAACATTTAACGTGCACTATAAAACTTGGTTTTTAGCACATGGGAAAATATGAAGAAAATTCATTTATATATAGTTAAATGATATTGGTATTGTTTGGTAGAGGAATGGTTTAATTTTTTTTCTTAATATAAAGTTGGTTTCTCCCCTCCAAAAAAGAAATATTTTTATTATCTAGCTGGCTATGGCTATTAAAAAGAAAGGGAAATTTTTCATAACCTCATGTCATCATTAACCACAGTGATGATTTGTGATGTGGGATTCCTTATGGTTTTCCTGAGAATATATCATGCATGTATTTGAACATGTGTGCGTATAGAGAATCACTTCATGCATACCGTTGTATTTAAATTAAAAAAAAAAAATTTTTATTAGTGGAAATTTTTTTTAATTATTTTTTTTAATATATTTTATTGATTTTTTACAGAGATGAAGAGAGAGGGATAGAGAGTTAGAAACATTGATGAGAGAGAAACATCAATCAGCTGCCTCTTGCACACCCCCCACCAGGGATGTACCCACAACTAAGGTACATGCCCTTGACCGGAATCGAACCTGGGATCTTTCAGTCTTTAGGCCGACGCTCTATCCACTGAGCCAAACCGGTTTCAGCCTAAATTTAAAAGAAAATTTTACTTGTTAACTTAAAATTCTATTTAAGTTTTGATTTTAAAAGAAAACATCTTCATTGCTTCTAATCATTTCTTATAAAAGATTAAAATAATGCAAAAACATAGACGGTGATCACCACCGTTTTTGATACCTTCCAAACTTAGAAACATGTTATGTTTGATCAATAGGATCCTACCATACATACTGTTTTGTAGTCTTCCTTTTCCACAAACTATATTCTCCCTATCATTTAATATAGCCATTATGTTAACTGCACGGTAGCCCCCTGCCTGATTTTATAGGTGGAGCCCAGTTTCCCACTCCTATAAAAATGCTGTGATAAGTATCCTCCTTACACACAAGTTCACTCATGCAAATGATAAGCTTCTGGAGCTGAACTTGCACACAAGGTGTAGGTTTACATACCTTTATATGGTGAACTATTCCCCCTCAGAAAAGCTGTGTCAGTGGCATGTCCTTGTTTTCTTGAGAGCCCCTTAATTCCATGTCTGTCTGAAGACAGTACCACACGTCCAGCAGGACAGTTGCTGCTGCTCAGGTCTCCTCCTTTATCATGCATTTTCACACCCCCAGGGAGACTCGCACCTCCTCTGCTGAAACGACTGAGCCTCTCCACGTCCAAACTGAACAGCCTGGCCATCGGTCTGCGGCAGATCGCAGCCTCCTCCCAGGACAGCGTGGGGCGAGTTTTGCGCCGCATCCGAGTTGCCAAAAACTTGGAACTAGAACAAGTGACTGTCCCAATCGGAGTCCTACTGGTCATCTTTGAATCTCGCCCTGACTGTCTACCCCAGGTATGTGACTAATGCTGAGATAAATCTCCCAAAGATTATTATTTTTTTTTTAGAACGATTTATAGATTATTATTATTTTTTTAGAACGATTTTTAGAATAATATTATTATTATTATTATTTTAGAACGTTTAAGAACGATTTATCTTCCCCCACCAAAAAATAAAATTTAAAAAAAATATATTTTTTATTGATTTCAGAGGGAAAGGAGAGAGAGAGAGAGACAGAAACATCAATGATGAGAGAGAATCATTGATTGCCTGCCTCCTGCAGTCCCCCCACTGGGGATTGAGCCCACAACTAGGCATGTGCCTTTGGTAGGAGTTGAACCTTGGGACCCTTCAGTCTGCAGGCCAATGCTCTAGCCACTGAGACTTTATTCTCATGTTGTTCTTAAGGTAATTTATGTTGCTTGTTTTTCCAATAATTCTAAAGTAGGTATTTATGTGTGCATTTTAGAGTTGAAGAAACTGAAGTTTATAGAAGGTAATAGTATTGTGAAACTTATTAATGTGGATCTGGGCCTTAAACCCAGATGAATCTCCCTTACCACAGGAGCCTACTTCCAAGTATCTTAACTCATTAGGCACTTTATTCCTCAGCCCAGAGTCCCTGCTGCCCTCCCCGCAGGTCCTTCATCTTATAGTCCATGCAAAAAAAGGGCCCTTTGTTATCAGTGTCTCAGATGGCTTCCTGAAGGTACATCTTAGAAAAAGAATGTCTAACCCTAGCTGGTTTGGCTCATTGGGTAGAGCATCAACCTGCGAATGTAGTATTATGAAGTAGTGACACTACACTCTTTTCCCTTTGGCTCACTGCTCTCCCCTTTGACCTGCAGGTGGCAGCCTTGGCTATTGCAAGTGGTAATGGCTTGTTACTCAAAGGGGGGAAAGAGGCCGCACACAGCAACCGGATTCTTCATGTCCTGACCCAGGAGGCACTCTCGATCCACGGAGTCAAGGAAGCCGTACAGCTGGTAGGTCCCTGAGAATGAGCCGTGTCAGGCCAGAGGAGCCTGGTCAGGTCTTTGGGTATTTGAAGCAGAGCTTAGGCCATGTGCATCTGAGTCACTTCCATGGGCAGGCTTAATTGAAGTGGCAGCAGGGCCCGAGTGTCTGCTGACATTGGACAGTGCCCGGTGGGTCTTCGGTGGCTTTGGAAGGATACTCTCACATAACTGTGTCCCGGCACCATTGACTTTGTGAGAATGCCTATCAGCCCTTCATTGTCTAGCTCACAGGGCAACAGGAATACCAGCACCAGAGTGTGAGGCCTGGGTTCTGCACACTGGCAGTCATTTAGGCCAAGTCGGATGAGATCAATTTTTATGAAAGCTTATCATAAACCATCATGGGAGCGTGTAAATGTGAGGTCATGCTGTTATTATTATTGTTGTTGTTATTTTAACCATTGTCTTATACTCCTCAATTGTCAAGTAGAATTTCTGAACTAGATAGTAAGAGTTGCAATTTATTGAACACCTGCTATGGGCAAGGCACTTTCTTATCTCTCTCTCAATCCTCTCAACAACCCTATGAGAAAAATATCAATTTTAGTCCCATTTTATATATAGGAAAAAAATAGGCACAGAGGTTAAGTAACTCACACCAAGTCGCACAGTCTGTAGTGGTTTAGATTTGGACTTAGGCTGGCTCCGGATCCTTCCTGTTCCATCGAGGCTACTCGCTCCCATATCGCAGGATTCTTTGGGCTGCTGGGCGAGGGTCTTCAAAACTGCTGCATCACATGCTCACTGATGAGTCTGGGTTTTTCTCATGGCAACATAGCGGTGGATTCAAATCCCAGCTCTGCCACCTCCTACCTTAATTCAGAGGCTTCTGCTTCCCTCCTTCCTATTGATGTGCAACATAGATTCGGTATATACAGATCCTATGTGATTTTGTCCATATGTACATGCACATACATAACACCAGCCATATCAAGATACAGGACATCTCCAACACCCAGAGGCTCCCAGGTGCCCTTTCCTGCCAGTATGCCCCCACCACCAGGTAACTGCTTTTTACTTCTTTCACGTTCAGTTTCTTTTGCCTGTTCTTGAACTTCATATAAATGGAATCACACAATGCACTCTTTCATGTTGTATTTCTTTTGTTCACTGTGATGTCCGTGAGCTTCATCCACATTGTTGCACCTAAGCAGTAGTCTTCTCTGTCGCTATCGTGTAGTATTCCCTTTACATGCATACACTAGTTTGTCCTTTCTTCTGTTGACGAACATTTGGGTTGCTTCCAGCTTTGGACTATGCAGATTAAAATTGCTGTGAGCATTTTTGTAAACATATTTGTATTTCTCTTAAAAGTAACATGACCATGTAGGGGACAATAAAAAATAAAGAAGATAAAACGATGCCTACATTGTCAGTGTCCTAACATAAGCACTGTCATTAGCCCCGCCAGCATCCCAGAGTTGAGGTTGTCAGCAGAAGCCATGAAGAACCAGACTCCCTTAGTAAGACCCAGCTTGTCACTAAGGCTGTGGTTAGAGAATGACCAGGGCTGACACTTTCTCTTGTGACCCTCATCACATGGCATAATCTGTGCCTCCTCTAATTCCAGAGGTGGCACTCTTACCTCTCCTGGCATTTAAAAAGTTATCTGCCCAGTGTATGGCTGCTTGTGTTCTAGCCCCCTCTTTCCCACTAGATTCTGAGCTGCTGGAGGCAGGGATCAGGTCATGCCCAGCAAAGCACTTAGTGTGCAGAGTTTGGAGAGCATTTGCAGGACAGCACTGATTCCCATGATCAGGGACTAGTCTTTTCTCACAGGAGGTGCAGGCACGTGACTGTAACGGGGATGTTGCCACTTCTGTATTTCATGGGGTTAGAAGACGCCCTCTTTATTCTTTTATTCTCTGCCTCTTCAGGTGAATACCAGAGAAGAAGTGGAAGATCTTTGCCGACTAGACAAACTGATAGATCTGATCATTCCACGCGGCTCTTCCCAGCTGGTCAGAGATATCCAGAAGGCCGCCAAGGGGATCCCCGTGATGGGGCACAGCGAAGGGATCTGCCACATGTATGTGGACTCAGAGGCCAGTGTCGATAAAGCCTCCAGACTGGGTGAGCTGGACAGGGTCCCCTGTTCCACAGGCAAAATATTTGTCAAATCCATCATAGTGGCTCTGAATCATGTTAATCGAAGCAACTCTCTGTTTTCTTTCTTTAGTCAGAGACTCTAAATGTGAATATCCAGCTGCCTGTAACGCTTTGGAGACTCTGTTGATCCACCGAGATCTGCTGAGAACACCCCTGTTTGACCAGATCATTGATATGCTGCGTGTGGAACAGGTAAGACAAGCCCGCAGGATCGCACCATTTCCTGCCTCTCCCGTGGAGACTGAGAGCCTGTGGGACTAGACCAGGAGCATCTCCACGCAGTGAGGCCATTCAAGAGGCAGTGTTTCTGAGCATCTGCTATGTACAGAGCTCTGTGCTCAGTAGCAGAGAGGAGTAAGATGAAGACAGGCCTCTGTCTTTTGACAGCCCAGGGGGTGGGAGAATCACACACACAAAAAGCTTCATTACCGAGTGGAAAGTGTTAAGTGCTAGGAGGGATTAGAGAGAAGACAGACCGCATGGCAGCCCGTTGAATGGACTGTGTCTGGCAACATTTATTCAGGCGGCATAGTTTAAAGTTTGTGAATCTGAACACATTCCTGTTTGGATTCGATTTGAAAAGATTGAGCGGAAATGTTCTCAAACCAAAATGTATTGCATCCGCCCCTCCACAAATGTCTTCAATTACCAATATTAACCTACTTAATACAGTGGTATTGGGAATCAACAATTTATGTAATATCCTCTTTTTCTGAGATTATTTTATTAAGGTTATAAACAATCAATACCAGTAAGTTTCCAACATAAACATATGCTACATCTTACATTCCTATTGCAAGGAAATAGGTGCTCCCCAGACATAAACGGACAGCCGTAAGTTTTCCGTCAGAGGTATCGATGCCCTGGCAGAGTTCTGTGCAGCAGCTGGGAGAGTGACTGCTGGCCTTGGTCGCTTTGACCTGCAGCACGTTTTTCTTCCCGTCCATCCTTTCCTGGAAAAGAGGCTCCAGTCAGCTATAAGTATGGCACGGACCTACTGAGAGCCTGAGAGCATTGTTTGAAAATGCACCTCACAAATTAAAAGGGAGTTAGGGTACATGCTCATTTATGCTGGGGTTCCTCCATGCGAGTGGCCTCTGATCGGGCCGGCTGCTGGTCTGGAAGAGGTGTGAGCTTGCTCTCATGTGGGTTTCTGTTGTTGCCCCTGCACTTCCTCTGTTCCAGGTGAAAATTCACGCAGGCCCCAAGTTTGCCTCCTATCTGACCTTCAGCCCCTCAGAAGTGAAGTCCCTCCGAACTGAGTACGGGGACCTGGAGCTGTGCATTGAGGTGGTGGACAGCGTCCAGGAGGCCATCGACCACATCCACAAGTACGGCAGCTCCCACACCGAGGTCATCGTCACGGAGAACGGTCAGTGCCCGAGGCTGCAGCGGAAGCGCCTGCGCTCTGCCTTCGTCTCCTCGTGGTTCTCCCCTCCGTGCCTCCTGGCCTGCAGGAGACGTAACCGAACAAACTGATGAGATGCTGGCTGTCGGTTTCATTTGCTGTTTTGCTGAGTGCTCTCACATCTGTTACCTCATGATAGAGTGATGGTGGCCCCGTAGGAGGAGGCAGAAAAGAGACTATTAGCTCCACTGTAAAGATGACTCCTGCATCACAGGCGCTACCATTTAATCCACACAACAGTCTTTCCAGGTTATTAGAATAAACCCATTTTATGGCTGAGGAAAGTTCAGGAGAGTAAGGGCAGAACCAATGCCACAGTCATTCATTCGCTCTACAGATGTGTATTGCAGAACATGCCTGGGTGTCAGGCCCAGTGATTAAGAAAGCCAGTATGGCCCCCCCTCAGGGAATTTACAGTTCACTTAGGGAATCACAACAGCACTAATAGTAACAGCTAACATTTATAGAGCACCTACTATGTGCTAGACTGTGATGAGTGCTTTGTGGATGTCAGTTCATCTTATTCTCTCCACACACTATGAGCTAGGTCATTGTCAGTCCCTGTTTTACTTGGGCACAGAGAGGTTCAGAAACCTGCCCAAGGTCATCCAGCTAGTGCGTGTGAACTTAGACTTTAGACTTAAAGACTCTGGGTCTACAGCCTCTAAATAAATAGTGTAGCAGCGAGGGTACCTCTGCAGTAGGAGCTCCCAAACAGCTACTCTTCCCACAGCAGTCACTGATGAGGCCGGTCTACCTTCTTCCTCTGGATTTTTCACAAATCGATGTTTAACACACGGGAATCCCCTAGGTGCCTGGACCCTGCCCCAGGCAGTCCCAGGTGAGGGCTAGAAGCAGGGTGTTCTCTGCGGATCATCCTAACTCAGTTTCTCTATCTGCCACAGAGAAAACAGCAGAGTTCTTCCTGCAGCACGTTGACAGTGCCTGCGTGTTCTGGAACGCCAGCACCCGCTTCTCTGATGGCTACCGCTTCGGGCTGGGTAAGGACTCTGGGCATGGAGAAAGGACCGCCGTGTGGTTGAAGGAGCATGATGAGGGTGGAGGAGACGGCTCACCTCTGTGGTCACATGCTTGGTCAGGATAAGAGACAGAGTTGTGAGAGGGTGGATACAGAGTTGTGAGAGGAAATCATAGCTGATAAAGTCCTGTGCTCTGGGTGTTCCACTTATTAGATAAGAAGGTAGGTACTTGTATTTTCTTTTTCATAGGTGGGGAAACTGAGGTTCAAGGAAGTGAAGTAAACTTGCACAAAGTCACACAGCTGGCATTCAAACCCAGGCTTGTGCAAGCCCAAAACCCCGCCGTTCCGACGCAGTGCAGGCAGGCCACAGCCTGTCTCCATGCACAGGTGGTAACAGGGGTCTTTGCCAGTCCCTTGAGAGCACTGCTACTGCAGGCTTACTCTGCAGAGAGACACAGCCAGGTTGCCTCGGAGCTAGGAATTCCCCATAGGGCAGGACAGAGGTGTTAGTGACTATGCTGGGCTTATGTGTTAGCATCGGAAACAGACAGGTAAGCCTGGGGTGCAAGGTTTACTTCCAAAAGCTTCTGAAAGACACCCTTCTCTCCTTCCATCTTTCACCCAAGCATGACTCAGTGGTTAAACATTGACCTATGAACCAGGAGGTCATGGGTTCGATTCTCGGTCAAGGTATGGGCTCAACTTGCAAGCTCCATCCCCAATTTGGGGGTCGGGAGAGCATGCAGGAGACAGCCAATGATTCTCTATCATTATTGATGTTTCTATCTCCCTCTCCCTCTCTGAAATCAATAAAAATATATTAAAAATAATAATAAAATCTCCATCCCCAGTAGTCAGGGGTGCCATTATACAAAGCTTTAATAAGGCAATTATGACAGATCGAAGAAGTAGTTTAAGCATTTGAAACATTGTAATCCCTCTGAACTTTTGAATAGATGATCTGCATAGAGACAAATAGTTGTCACTGAATTGTTAAAAGTTATAAAGGGAATTTTACTCAGTTATTCTTAGTCATTAGACAAGAATGACTTATTTTTAGTTCCCTGTCTCCATTGTGTTGGGGTTTTGATTTAATACCACATCACTTCCACTGAATGTTGCATTCTGTGGCCTTGAAGAAGAAATAGCAGCATACATTTAAGAGCTGAGGAGCCCAGCTTTGAAGCGAAAGTCAAGATGCAGGGAAAGCAAGGGATCCCTCCATCGTCTTTCAGTCCCTGGTTCAGAGCAGAAGCTCAGGGTATGTTTGAGTCAAATGTGCTAGTAACACTGACAGATAATACTTATTGGGCATTTACTGTATCCCCAGCACTGTGTTAATGTATCACATGCAGTACTCCCTTAGATCTCCATAATGGATCGATTATTTTATTCATTTTTTTAATGACAAAAATCAAAGCACGAAAGATGATCGAGGCAACACGTCCAGAGTCACATGGTCTCTACATTAGTTAACAGAATTGGAATGTGGTGCTCACAGGCTCCTTGCCAATCACTACCCCATGCTCATCTCCACTCGGTCTCCTCACTTCTCTCTGCCTGCAGCACCTGTACCTGCCCCTCCCTGGCTGGCTCCTCATCTGCCTGCCCAGTGTGGGCCCCACCCACCCACATAGTTGTCACAGGTGTTCTTAGCTCCCTTGTCCACAAGAACATAAGCCCCACGAAAACGGACTGTACCGTTACCACCTCATTCCCAGGGCCAGTACGTGCTCAGTGCTGTTGTGATGGACATGGGACCCTGCTTCCCCCATGGGAGGTGCAGAACCCTGAGCCAGACCCAGGAAGACTCCTGATGGCCGCATCTGAGCCAGGAGCGAGAGTGCGAGATGAGCAACCCCTTTTATGTATTCAGTTTAGTGCTAAGAATTTGGGGGGATCCTGAGAACGTATCCCTTTCTGGGATTTGAGGAATATTTAGGGAGATGAAACCTCCATACTAAACATTGTTATATAACTCAGAAAATGCCCCAATGTCAAATTACGGTGCGCAGTCCACACACTGAACAGATAGCAGAGAGAGCAGGTCTGCTAAAGCACAATCAAGCCCACACGCTGGGTTTCCTGAGGAGGAGGAGGCTCGGCGTGATGTACAGCGACCAGAGACACGTGGGGACAGCGAAACTCAAGCTGGCCGGCAGGATGGGCAGGGGAGGGCGAGGGGCTGGTGAGCAGACAGGAAGCAGAGGCGGGAAACACCACACCCTCATCCGTGCTTCTTTGCAGGAGCTGAGGTGGGAATCAGTACCTCGCGAATCCACGCTCGGGGACCCGTAGGACTTGAGGGACTACTTACAACTAAGTGGCTGCTGCGAGGGCAGGACCACGTGGTCTCGGATTTCTCAGAGCACGGAACTTTGAAGTATCTTCACGAGAACCTCCCTGTTCCTCAGAGAAACACCAACTGAAAGCCGCAGAGGAGAGCGGTGTTCCGAGAGGTCCTCACGGGTGAGCTCGCTACAGGACCTGGGCTGAGCCGGTCCAGCTCCCACGTCCCTAAGGCCTCCCTGCTGTGGGCTCATTTGGGCAGCATCGGTCTTGGCTAATGGCACAATCCAGCTCACCGTTTTCTTTTTTATTTTTTTTAGAAAGTAATTATTATGGCCCTAGCTGGTTTGGCTCAGTGGATAGAGCGTTGGCCTGCAGACTGAAGGGTCCCAGGTTCAGTTCCAGCCAAGGGCACATGCCCAGGTTGTGGACTCAATCCCCAGTAGGGGGCGTGCAGAAGGCAGCCAATCAATGATTCTCATCATTGATGTTTCTATCTCTCTTTCCTTCCTCTCTGAAATCAATAAATATATTTTTTAAAAGACAATAATTATTATGAATAGGGACCTTGCTTAATTGCTCCAAATAGGGACTTTGCTTTTCATGGTCCAGTTTTCTTCAGTGATAGAAGCAAAGATAAGGTGTCCGAGGTGGAGACAATGGGAAAATCGTGGCCGCTTCTCATCTTTTTATTGCCTCAGTGAGGTAAGGTCTCCCTGGGCATTTGGTCGGTACCAGAGCCATACCTAATACATGTTTCCACGTTTCTTTCACACTCACAGTCATCTTCAAAAAGGAAAGGTCTGGAACTTAGATGAGGGGCACCATTCTCATCAAAAACAGTCACCAAAATGGGCCAGTCATTTCCGCTGGGAGGTTGATCTGTATTTATTTGTGGAGAAACTATAAGCATTTCCTCTCCGGCCCAGGAGACTGGCAGCACTTGTGATGCGGTTGGAACCTGGACCGCAGACAGGAGGTGTAGGATCAGGGTGAAGTAGTATCTGACAATTATGCTTGAAATTTTTATAGGGATTTTTGTCATCCTATCCTTTCCCTCTGAAATAAAATTAGAGCTTTATTTTAATACTTTGGATTCTTCCCCCTTTTTGAGAAATAAAGTTCTTAAGAAAAGCCTGTGTGCCGGATTAACGTTTTCTCCCTCATTGGCTATTCCCCTCCCTCCCTTTCCCGTGTGGCGGCCTCACGGCCTCACTCTTACACATTGTCTCCCTGGGAGCTGGTTGGGAGGCAGCCGGACCCTCCGCCTCGACTGCACCAGTGCAGGCAGCCCAGCAGGTGCCAGGGGACCAGACCAGAGGCGGGAGAGGAGAGTGCGAGGACTTGAAGGAATAAAAGCACGGTGATGGTCTGAAGTTGGTGTGTATGACACGAGCATGCCACCATTGTGCAGGTCCACACAGTGTCCACCTGGATGGCCAGGGCTCCAGCTGACCTCCTCACCTCAGGGTCACCTGTTTCATTGGCAGCTCTCACCCCTCACCCTCCTCCCAGCTCCTGTTCTTGGGGTCCCTGGAGTCTACAGCTGAAAGATTTCTGGTCTCATGGAGATACTTACAAAAAAAAAATAGCCATCACTTACATGCTGCTGCTTATCCTCGGAGGATGTTTGATGAATCCTCAATGGTGTCATGTGGATCGTGTTCTCAGACTGGCTCTAAACTGCCTCTCATCCGGACCCTGACATGGTCTGGCAAGTTACCCTGCGGTCCTCTGAGTGGGGGATTTGGCCATAGCTTGCCAGAAAAGGCGACCGAGTCCCACCTGAAACTACATGGCAAATCCCACCATCAGCGCACAGCCAAACGACAAACGTCCCTGGTGTCTAGAATAGCAAGTGACCCACGCAGGCCTTTGGGGAAGACGCCAAGGGGGCAGGCCTGGATCTGGGCCCCAAGAAAGACGGCGGGAGTGAGGAAGTGGCTGGCAGAGACTCAGGCAGGGGGCCGTGCAAACAAAAGTCCAGGCATGGGGGCGGAACACAAGTGAAGACTCCAATTTGGGGCAGAAGTTCACGTGGGTAAACAGGAAGGTATTACTTCCAAATGGCTGATGGCATCCTCTTGACTGGAGCTACTCTTCTTAGGGCAAGAAATGGGGTGGGGTTTTGTCCGAGAAACACTGCTACAGGCTATATTGCAATAGGTGTTGTCTGCTCTGTTCCCCTTATTTTAGGGAACCATCTCTGCATTTGCAGTAATTGGCCTCAGTCTGTGTGCTTCAGGGGAGGGATGCTGATATCCCAGGACCTGGGTCTGAGAAGTCTGTTTGCCTGCGAACAGCGATTGCTGCAGGGCCAGGCGTATGATTAAAACTTAGCCACACAGCGTACTAGTGGAATTGGATTTTTACTGCGGTTATTAGAAAAAGCTCTCTGGAGTTGTAACCTCTTAATTCTCAAGGACTAAAGCCGGTAATATCCATCCTTCCACGTAGAGAGGCTGTAAGCAGTATCCGCACAGAGGAAAGGGAGTCAGGGGACATAGAGGGCCTGGGCCCCTGGCTCCATCTGCGCCTGAAACCACCCCTGGACTCAGTTCAATCATTTCCCTTCTTTGCTGAAGCAAGTTTGAGTTGGATTTCTATTGCTTTCACCTTAGAAGACTTGGGATGATGTACCTGGGTTCAAACATCTGCTCTGCCACTTAAACAAGTGACTTTGGACAAAGTCGCCTGACTTCTGTGAGCCTGTTTCCTTGTAGGAATTTTGACACCTCCTACCACATAGGTGGGAATCTAAATACTTGGCACAGCCTGGGCACACAGCAAGCACCCAATAAGCCAGAGAAGGTCACTTGCGGCTTTCACATGCCCGACTCCATGTTTGACTGCACTTCACAGGAAATCAGATGTTTCTTCTGTTCCTCAGGAGGCAGTTTTCAGGAGCCGGGTTTTCCCAGGCCGGCTCCATCTGGTCGCCAGAAGACAAGCCTTGCCCTCCACAGGGAGGAATAGAGCGCTGGGTTTCATTAAACATTTAAGACCTGGAGTATGTGGGTGGCTGCTACTGAGGAAGGCATGAGCAGTAAAAACGCGGTTTTGGATCTGAGATAGAGAAAGGGGACTGTTTCTGGCAACATTTATTCAGATACATGGGATTAAAAAAAAATTGTATTGCCCTAGCCGGGTTTGATCCTGGTCAAGGGCATGTACCTCAGTTGCAGGCCCCTACCCCTAGCACTAATTGGAGTGTATGCAGGAGGAGGCATCTGATTGATGTGTCTCTCTCACATTGATGTTTCTCTCTGTGTGTCTTTTCCCCTCTTACTCTCTACAAATCAACGGAAAGATATCCTTGGGTGAGGATTAACAACAACAACAAATCTGTTATCTTCCCACCTCCAGTAGGTGGTAGTGGTATCCCATCCATCAGGACAACATCCTAGACAGCAGGAAGGAGAAATAACTGGGCAAAATAATATTGCCAGCTGCCCCTTCTAAGTGACTTTCCAGGAAGGCCCAACCAATGGCTTGGCCAGAATTGGCTTGTGGCCTCCCCTGTCTATAAGCGATCTGGGCACATTGCAGCTCCAGGAAGTAGGAGTCTATTGGTAGGGGAGGATGGAAACGGCGTAGAGGGAAATTATCCTAATTGATCAGAGAGCTGGAAGTGGGATCGATTAGCCTAAATATGGCTGCTGGGAAGGAACTGTTTGTGGCACATGGACCATTCTGGGTGCAAAGGAAGCTGGGAAATATATTTGTAGCTAGGCACATCCTTGTCTTAACAAAAACTAGGATCCTCTTTGTAAGAAAGAAAAAAGGATAAATATTGGGTAAGCTGCTGGCACTATTTGCCACAATTACCCATTAGGCCTTGTGGATTTTCTTAGAAGGTTATTTTGTTTTCTAGAGCTCGTTGATAGGTTTTGTAATTCAGGTTTTGTGGTGGAATGGGAAGGCTAAATTGCTCTGTAAGAGATGAAGAAAAGGCTAAATTCTCGGGCAATTCTGGAGAGTAGAGGGTGGGTTGTATATAGATTGCCCTAGACCCAGAATCAGCAGGAAATTGGGCTCGAGAAAGCTAATTTCCAAAGTACAAGAAAAGCATTTGTTTTTAAACTGATGACTCAATGGGAACAATTCTCTTCGAAGTACTTGCATTTTAGAAAAAGAAACTTGTTATTCCAAAGAATTAGCCAGAGTGACATAGTGCGAAGAGCATGCATTTGGGAGTCATACTGGCCTGCCCTGCCAATGAGAAATTATGTGAACTTAGCAGACATACTTTTACTAAAATAAGTCTCAGTTTCTTTACTGGGAAAAAGTAGAGGACTAACACCTACCTATCAGGAGAGAACAAAGTAATGGAGTAGACACTTAGCCCACGAAAGAAGCTCCACCAATATTGGCCACAGTTAGCAGTAGGGACACAGCTGGCATATCTGTCTATTCCCCACTGAGCGCAGCTAGGAGCAATGCATGTAGGTGCTAACTGATCAGCAGTTTTTTATTGAGGTATAATTGACATAACATTATGTTAGTGTTAGGTGTGTGACATAACAATTTGATATTTCTATACATTGTAAAATGATCATCAGAAGTCTGGTTGATGCCGAGACCGGTTTGGCTCAATGGATAGAGCGTCGGCTTGGGGACTGAAAGGTCCCGGGTTCGATTCCGGTCAAGGGCATGTACCTTGGTTGCGGGCATATCCCCAGTGGGTGGTGTGCAAGAGGCAGCTGATCGATGACTCTCTCTCATCGATGTTTCTAACTCTGTATCTCTCTCCCTTCCTCTCTGTACAAAATCAATAAAATATATTTTAAAAAAATCTGGTTCATATCTGTCACCATATATAGTTACACATTTTTTTTCTTGTGATGAAAACTTTTAAGATCTACTCTCTTATCAACTTTCAAATATCCAGTACAGGATTATTAACTCTTGTAATTAACACCAAGCTGTTCATTACATCCCCATGACTTATTTATTTTAGAACTGGAAGTTTGAACCATTTGACCCCTTTCATCCATTTCACCCACCTCCCCCACTCTGCCTCTGGCAACCACCAATCTGTTCGCTGAGTCTATGAGCTTGGTTTGATTTGGGGTGTGTGTGTGTGTGTGTGTGTGTGTGTGTGTGTGTGTGTTTTAAGATTCTACATATAAGAGAAATT